TTTTTAGTGTGATACTGCATTTTACCAAGCATCTAATACACAACATTGTGACTATCTTTTCATTTAACTTTACCATGCACATCCATATAATAATTATGTCCTATGGAATTCCATATACGAAAGCCAACTACTAACTGCTCACTGTTTACTGCCAACTGCTCACTGCCAACTGCTCTCTTCTTACTGCCAACTGTTCACTGCCAACTGCTCTCTTCTTACTGCCAACTGTTCACTGCTTATAGATGATTATCTTAATATCTTTATACTCATGCTTGAATAGATTCTACAAATCCAATGATAGCAAGAAAAGAACAGCGAACAAGAGTATTGTTCTGTCTCCTACATCCAAGTCAATTTTCAAAAAGTAACATATTTGAATTATACTTTTCATAAACACAACTTATTTGGGAAACCGGCCAAATAAGACCCCCCCCCCCTTGAAACAACAATTCATTTTTACATGTATTACGAATTGTTATTTCACAAATTCATATCAAAGGTTTTATTGTTTTACCAATGGGGGGGGGGGGGGGCATACGTTAAAAACACAAAAATAGTCATTTTATTACCAATTTCAAATGAGATTAAATTTTTTTTTAAAAATGTTCTTTATCAATCTGACATATTCAATTTTACATAAGTTAAACATACAGAGATATTTAAGAGTCTTTTATCCACTCCCATGAGTATTTGAAAAATCTGGTGACGTTTTAAAGCCTGATTTCAATTGATAAAATTTTCTACCCCCTATGAAAGGAGTTGAAAATAAGAAATAAAAAATTATCGCTTTCTTTGCATAAGTTCAAATGTTTTTACATAGCGTAAAATTTTTGCTTTGTATTATGATTTTTCATTAGAGTATTTCTGGTATGAATGCATATATACCAACAAATGTTACCCAGGATACTATACTAAAAGACCCCCCCCCCCCTTCTGCTCCTTCTCCCTATTTATTATACTCACTTTTAAAAAAAAAATTCCTGAATCCGCCAATTTTTGTTATTAGAGTGATATTCTTGCTATCATAGGGTTTAGTCAAGCATGCGGATTAAAGATATTAAAGATAACAAAATAGGCAATATCATCTATATTAAGCAGTAGCAGCCGGAAGTAAGCGGTGAGCAGTTGGCAGTACGCAGTGAACAGTTCGCAGTAAGCAGTCTTCAAAATTCTGTATGGAATTCCATATACGACAGCCAACTGCTTACTGTCAACTGCTCACTGCTTACTGCCAGCTGTTTACTGCCAACTGCATACTGCTTAATGCCAACTGCCACTGTTCATAGATGATATTGCCTATTTAATACGCATGTTTGAATAAATCCTACATGGCCGTAGGAACCGGGGGGGGGGGGCACGGGGGGCCGTGCCCCCCCAATAATTTTGCCGATATATAGATTACTATAGTAAACATAGATACTATAAGCATGTGCCCCCTCAATAAAACCGCCTGAATACCCCTTTTTTTTTTTTTTTTGCTTGTCAACGAATATTTGGTAGTTGACGACCCTTTTTTTTTTTTTTTTTTTTTTGCTTGTCAGAAAATTTTTGGTAGTGCCCCCTCAACTGTCAACTGAAAAATGTTTGGCTGTGTCCCCCCAAACTGAAATTGCTTCCTACGGGCCTGTCCTATGATAGCAAGACCATTACAATAATAACAAAAATTGGCGGATTCAGGAATTTTTAAACAGTGATGGCGAGGAAAGAATAATTAGATAGGAAGAAGGAGCATCTCCTCTAAAATCCGAAACATTTAATTTCCATATTTCCTTGCAGGCAAATAATTCAATAGCCTTTTTTGGCTATGGATATTACTAGATATTTTACCGTAGACAGAAGTTATGTAATATAATTTTCAGTCATATTTCTAGACTTAGTATAAAAACATTTGTTTTATACCAACAAATGTTACCTCCAAATTATTAAGACTCTACTAAAAGTTTGTTCTTTTGTCGTATCTGCCCCCTACCCCCCCCCCCCCCCTTGTCAAAACAGCATTTGCCAGCAAGGAAATGTGGGATTTAAACGTTTTATTTTTAAGAGGAAATACTAATTCTTTCAATTTACTCCTCTCTCCCCGTCAAAGTTCCTAAATCAGCATTTTTTTTAAATATTGTAAGAACTACGCACGCTAACGCTAATTCCCGTTTACATTTTACATGCATATGATTCAATATTAATGGAAATTTGGCCATTAAAACTTGTTTGAATGCAAAGAAAAGTTCATTAGTAATGGATTAATAATATTAAAACCTGTGTCAAAAAGTTAATTGCTCTTATTTACAACTCCTTTCATTAGGAGGGGGTTAGAAAATTTTATCAATTCAAAACATCACCAGATTTTCAAATTCACATGGAAATGGATAAACGATCATTAATGTTTAACTTATGTAAAATTCAACATATCAGATTGATAGAGTACTTTTTTAACTTGTTATTTTGTTTGAAATTGGTAAAAAATACATGTGGCTATTTTTATTGTTTTTGTCTGTAAACATACCTCCCCCCCCCCCCTGAAAAAAAAAGAGAACTTTGGTACGAATTTGTGAAATAACAATTCATAATACCTGAAAAAAGAAGTTTTTGTTTCACGGGGGGGGGGGGGGGGGAGGTTTAAATATCCTGTTTTCGTTGATTTTAAAGTGATATATAAACATAAGTTTTACCTAATTTGTAAACTTAACTCTCTTCGCTTTTCCAGATAAGTTATGTTATATGAAAATTCACATAAATGTCTACATAAATATATAAAAATCATTTAAATATGTTCATAGGATTTATTCAAGCATGCGTATTAAAAATATTAAGATATCAAAATATAGGCAGTATCATCTACAAGCAGTGAGCAGTTGGCAGTAAGCAATTGGCTGTCGTATATGGAATTTCATAATTCTGAGAGTAAAATATTTGTAAAATAATCATGTATTAGTTCAGACGTAGACCCCGTAAAGATATTCATTTCTTTAAATTATGAACTGATGATCATGAATAGTACATAGTTTTATATGTCTCTTGTGTTTTCCCCCTATATCCTTCAAAAGTGAAATGATTGAGTGCCTTGAATACTTAGGGTACGGGTTTGCCAGTAAAATTGACTGTGCAGAGGCATTGTCCCCTGGTACCCTCTGTATTCAAGCTACCTTTTCTACACTAAACAATAGACTAAGTATTAATATTACTTATTTACTGTTAAATATAATGGTATATTTGTGTATGTGTATTATAATAATGTATGTAGGTATGCATATGTATGTACGACTGTGTATATGTATGTGGGTATGTAACTATGTATTTTATACTAGAATGTAAAATACCTATAATCACTTTAAAAAAAAGTTGAATTTAGTAGGTACATAATTACATGTGAAGTATTTTTTATATATGTTATTAGTTTTGCTATCACCTAAATGATTCTGAATGAGTGTCTTGAATACTTAGAGTACAGGTGTGTCAGTAAGATTGACTATGTAGAGGCATCGTCCCCTGGTGCCCTCTGTATTCAAGCCACACTATATACATGTATTAGCACATTGCTATTATTGTCAATTTCTTTATCTTCCTTCAGTTTTCTTCCTACTCAATATTTTTGATCCAGTTTCAGACTATTGTGATTATGTTGCAAATCTTGCATTTTCATGAGTATCCTACTCGTGGTATTGTACATCTTTCATTTGTACCCTTATGATAGATATGATTTATATTCTTTCATATTACAATATACTTTAATATTATTTATATGTAATCATTCTGAAATAATTGTATATATGCCCCCTGAGGCCCTTGATTGGTTAATAAACATATATATATATATATATATATATATATATATATATATATATATATATATATATATATATATATATATATATATATATATATATGTTTTGAGAGGAAAAATAAATCAATTACATTAATTTGTTTTCCTTATTTACTCCTTTTTTTGAATTCAAAAGCATTTAAAGAATCTTCAATTATATCATGTCATATCAAATGTTATCCAACTGCATGAACTGTACAGGCAAACTTTTTGACCTTACAAAAGACAATATTTATTTCCAATCAAGGGCCCCCAGAGAAGCATGAAAGATACATAAGTACATGTACTTGTCACAATTAACGCCACAAACACACTAAATATTACGACGTTCTTTCCATTCATACTTTATTTCTTATTTTTGTTAAATTTTATGATTTATGTGAACAATTGCTTTGTAAATTATACGCAATTTTGAAACCACAGGCGGTTCTATACAATTGGGAACTCTTTTGTTTTTGAAAGCAGAAAAATGACCGCGGGGCGTACCGCGAAAGAACATATCGTGTTTACCTTGACTTCGCACGCGAGAAATATTGATTGGTGTATAACCATTAAGATGCTGTAAGAATCAAGGTGTATAGGCGAAGGATGATGTTGTCATGAATATTTTATCAACTGGACGGGAGAGTCTGCCACAGTATCGGCGTAATGTTGTACACAATCTTCCGTACAGCTGTTCTCAATGACAACTCATTACACTGATATATACATATATGATGGATTGTTGTCTTCGGTGAGCTTGTAAGGTAAAATGCATTCAAAAAAAGTATACGTTTTATTGTTATCCTATATTTAATTGAAGGTTTAAAAGATTTAATTATTTCTGTGTCGGATGTTTCTCATTTCTAAACCCATTTATCAGTTTATGTCATGTTAGAACCCATCTATGTACTGTTATTCCTTTCACAGGTTTCCTGGCCTCCCAAAGATGACCAGGCTTAATGTTCCAAAGTTCTTCTTTTCCCTTCTTCATATATTCTTCATGCATTCAAAGTTTGTCTTCACTCAAGACAATATTGTGGGTAAGTTCACTCTGATAACTCTGAAATCATTCAAAAAATCATATTCTTTAAAACAAAATGAGGATTTGAATGATAATACAGCCATTTTAGCAGTAAACATTGTTACAGATATTACTTGCAGATGCAAGTTTGTGTTTATTTTTATTAATAAAACAAAAAAAATGTTTCAAGAATTTACAGTGAAACCAAAAAGTCAAGCTGTTATGTACAATGGAAGCATAACTCTAAACTGTGAAGCCAAGCTGGTATCTTCCCCCTTGGAACAGCTGTCCTATGCTTGGTATCTGAATGGGGGACCACGTCCCCAGGGTAGCTCTATATTTGTCAACAACTCCCTACTTATACAGAACATCCATGAGGCAGAACTAGGAAACTACACCTGTGTTGTATCCTCAGGTGATGGGAGCTCACAGTTAGCTGTGTCCCCTCCTGCTCAAATCAAACATGCATGTAAGTAATGCAGTATGGGTGACTTGATTTTACTTGGTATATATTTTGTTTACAAAATATGCTTATAATAAATGGTGATAACTATGACAGATGAAGAATACTGTAAAAGAAGAAATATTTGTTGGGGATTAAATTTCATTTATTTTGTTGTTTACAATTATCAACAAAATTTAATCCAACATGTTAAAATTTTAATATGACTATGAATTGAAGAGTTATAATTACTGTATAGACATGGAGAGTGCATATTTGAATAACATTTTTTGATAAGTTTTTAATGAATCTATGCACTTTGAAATATGAAAAAATATGTGTCCGAGTAACCGAGTACCGATTTTAGTATTCATTACTTGGACGTTCCATCGAGTACCCGATTAAACCGGTTATCCCTAATATATATATTTTACTCATTATTTGGTTATGTCAGAGTAGTTTTGAAAGCTTAAATTGAATTTCAAAATTCATATAGGTCTTTAATGCCAGATGAGGAATGTCTTTTTTCTGTCAATATTGAAAATTCACACAAAAAGATCTCTTTTCGAGAACATTATAGGGTTAATTATTGGTATTCTGCTTATTTCTGTGTGTTTGATGTCACATCAATGTTTGTCTTTGATAGATATCCGTTCATTTGTGATGAATCCTAATGGTGGGACTGTGACAGAGGGAGACACAATAACACTGGACTGTGTTACAGGGGAGAGCTCCCCACCCCCAGGGATCTTCTGGGAAAAAGATGGTGTTCTATTCAGGGGTGGATCTCAGTACAATGCCACCTATAAGAGTGCCTCTTCCTTGGGTTTTGTTCAACAGTTCAGCATGAAGTTGGTCCTAGTAGCTACTCCAGAGCACAGTGGGAAGTATAACTGTGCTGCTAGGAACAGCATGCTTGGAATAACTGTTAGAAGTCTACAAGTGTTTGTAGGAGTTACAGGTAAATCATTTTAAAATTTGTTGCATGAGGTTTAAATCTGTGTCTGAAAAATTTTGTTTCCATGACTTTCAGGAGAAATTGGTTAAAAACATTTTGATACTGAGATTATCCATGAAAGTGATGATGTGAATCTCATATTTCTGTTATTTTTTTTCCTTCTAAGCATTTGAGTTTGCAGCAAGAGTTGACTTAAACTTGTATAAGAGGGATATTTTGACTCCAAAGGACCAGCCCTTTATCCTGGACTGCCCAATAATTGGATACCCCACCCCAGTCATCACCTGGAAAAAGGGCCAGGTGCCCCTTACACCAGTCACCACTAACCATACCCTCCTGTCCAATGGTAGTCTCTACTTCCAGTCCTTTCAGCTGGAGGATCAGGGATACTATATCTGCGAGGGGATAAACAAACTAGGGAGGGATACATCACCTGACATTGTATTACAGGCAGCTTGTAAGGAACCAATGCATGAATTTAATTGTAAATCTTTTAAATGTCTCAAAGTAAAGAGGAGATAATTTTTTTAAGCATTCTTGTCAAATTTTTGTACAGTGCAAAACATTTTAATATATTTTTTTTGTAGATATTGACTTTGAATTTTCTCGACATCCAACTTCAAAATATGCCATAGCAGGCCTGCCCACAACCCTGCCTTGTTCTCCTCCTACTTCTAATCCCCCTGCCAAAGTCACATGGTATAAGAACAACCAACCCTTGACCAACAAGTTTAATAATAACAGTAAGACCGTGTTAATTATGGACCCTGACAATGGCGTATGGGACCTGTTTATATCTGATGTACAGAGAATTCATGAGGGGGAATACTTCTGTGTCGCTGAGAATGTTTTTGCTGTTCCAACATCTAGAACATCTAAAGTGGCCACACTTCGAGTAGGAGGTAAAGTGTACTGTTTTCTGTTCAAAATTCCAAAAGGTATGTTCAGTATTAGCAATGAAAGTGATGAAGTGTTTGAACCTCACCCTGCTCAATTTTCAAAAATATTAGACAAAAATGTACTTGCTCTTATGATCAAGTTACATATATTGTGATATTGTATGAAGCATGTAAATTTATGGGGGAAAAACAATGCATTATTACATACTCGTCTCTATCCTGAAAATGTGACTTTTCACTCCCAGATATCTGTACACTGCGTAGAAATTCATCATACAGTCAACATTATTGATTTTTAATTTAATTAATTTGAACCCCCCTAAAAAATGTTCTCTTCTCAATTCTGTGTTATTCTGAGGAGGAACACATAAATTTAAAATAAAAATGTACACATTTGTCTGAGACTATTTTATTTAAGTATTGAATTCTTATTTTTGGATGTTGTCAGTCCTATAACACACCTAGCTGTGCCGACAAATTGAATACTATGCGTTATCTGTGTATGATAATTTGTTGGCACAGCCAGGTGTTTGATAGGACCGACAACATCCAAAAATAAGAATTCAATGCTTATATTTACATTCTCTAATTTTCTATCTTCATAATCGTTTATTTCACTAATCTTTTTAAATATGAATTTAGCGCCTTTCAGGAAAATGCATATAGTTCCTACTGTGTATTCTACCAAGCGGTGACAAGGTTTCGCGTGTGTTATAAAGATTTGAACGCTGTGGATTTCAAATGGATTTCATAAAGAAAATTACACTGAATGTAAATAATTCTCAGTACCAGGTATATCTTATGTTTCTGTTTTGTTTAAGGAGCACCTACATTTGTGCAGCCCCCATTGAGCCAGTCTGTTATCAAAGGTCAAGGTCTAGTGCTGATTTGTCTGGTTCAAGGAGATCCAGAACCAGAAATAACCTGGTTGTTCAATGGACAGCCAGTGACAGATGGAGCCTATACAACAGCATTCAGGTGAGAATTTCTACAGAGCCTATACAACAGCATTCAGTTGAGAATTTCTACAGAGAATGTACACCAGCAGATAAAATTTCTACAGAGCCTATACATTTAGAAGACAATTAGTCAGTGATTTACATGTAGGATAGATTGTTCACACTGGGAATTCTTAACTAAGTATACTGAGCAATGAGAGAGAGTTAATTTAGAAATAATCATTGTCAAGTGAATAAACCCGTATGAAATATATGTACAATTTAGCTATCTCTTCATGTCAGATGGATCACACAATTCTTCCAATTAGTTTTCGTCTTTCAATGCAAATATTTTCTTTTATATCATCATTACTGAGAAGTAATAGACTCTTTAATATCAATAATACATGGTCAATTTCAATGGTTGAAAAATATTTCAACAGCATGAAGAACCAGGAGCTTCACATTGCCAATGTAAACAAAGCATGGGAGGGCTATTTCACCTGTAGAGCCAATAATTCATACGGAAAATCTGAGGCCATGGCGTACGTGACTGTCAAAGGTAATGATGGCAAATGTATAGTTATTTATAAAACTCTATTGGTACAGTAAATTAAACATGGTTATAGTAAAGTGCCAGCCAGTTTGGATTTGATATAAACATAATTTGTTGTTTCTGATAAGTTAATAATACATTTTAAAAGCTTCACAAGGAATAAAAATCTGCTTTGCTGTAAGCATGAATTTGTTATAATCCAGTTAACCATAACTATAATGTTTTACTGTATTAAATTAATAGTTGTTGCATATTGAAGTGGCTTATCATTGTCAAAAAGATGAGTTGAATAAAGTTCTCTAGCTTGTGTAAAATCTAATACATTAGCTTTAGTTATACTTATATCATTTCAGTCCCGGTGGTGATTACCAAGCCAGTGGTCAATTTGACGGTAACTGTTAACAACCAGGTGTTCTTGCCTTGTGAAGTCTATGGAGACCCAGCTCCAAACATAACTTGGTACAAAGGTAGAGAAAAATGTTCTACTTTCAAATTTGTACATGTTCATGTATCTGTGCATAGTTTGATATGTGGTAAATGTATGATTACGCCCCAGGGTGTGGCTACTAAGATGGTCATTTATCGAAAGTAAATTACATCTTTGAAAATCTTCATAAATATTGAAAAATTAATTTCATGATTATAAGGAGCAGCTAGTCCTCTACAAATATAAAGTTTATGATCCTTGATACTAGGGATCAGGACCCAGGCAGGGGCTAAGTTGGTCTTTTATTGAAGTTTATTACACAGTGTACCTTCCTCTAGGAAACAAACTTCAGGAGTATTTTAATGATTATAAAGTCTTCATCAAACTTTAGAATTTTAGTCACTGATTTGTGGGCCCAAACTGGTCATAACCAGTGAGAGACTTATGATACTCAGGCAACCTTCAAGGCCCAGGGGCCTCTTGTTTAATTCCAGATCAGGGCCCTCTATCCCTCAGCAGTCAAGTTCGTCAGACAGTAGATGGACTTTTTATTAATGATGTAAACATGACTGATGAGGGAACTTACACCTGCCTGGCAACCAATGAGGCAGGCACTGCACAATCCTCAGGAATACTGATTGTTCAGGGTACTTCACCGATTTATTGTATGTTTTGTGGCATAATATGCTTAAATGAAAGTTAGAAATAATGCTCTAAATCTCATTTTCTGTTCAAACTAAGAGTATAAATGCTAACAAATATTTAATATAATTATTGTTTGATAACATACTTTTTATTTGTGTGTTAACAACATCAACAATTTGTAAGGTTATGAATATTGGCCTGTACTGTAGTACCTATAAAATTTTACTGATTTCTGAGTAAATTTTCTGTTACATAGAAAAATATTCCATTTTAGATAAGTTTTTCAAAGGGGCTCTAAATTCCTAAAATCTATCAATTTGCATCACATCATTTTAATACATGTATGTTGCTTTCAGCTCCACCAGTATTTAAGATGATCCCAAAGAATGTTACTGTGGTGATCGGTGGCACTGCTAACTTCAATTGTAGTGTAGGCAGCCATCCTGCTTCAACTATTGTATGGCAATTTAATGTAAGCTTTTTGTAGCCAAAAGCAGTAGAAAAAAGCTTAAAACATATAATTTGCTTAAAAGCTTTTATAACTATACAAAGTCTTACAGTATATACAGTCAAACCTCATTATCTTGAACTCGATGGGACCAAGAAAATACTTTGAGATATCAGAGGGCTCGAGATATTGAGGATAAAATACTTAAGAAATACCTGATAAGGACTTCCCAATCACTTTGACATATCCATGGTATTTGAGATATCCGTGTTTGAGATACCTAAGTTCAACTGTATTATTTTGTTCCTTTGGAAAAATCTTTATTTAAGTAATGTGTAAATAATCATTTTCCTAATATGTTACTTTACATCAGGAAGAAAAAATGAAGAAGACTATACCTTTTCCAAATACATTATAAAAACTTAATGTATAAAAAATTGAAGAAAAAAAAATTAGATTTAAAATAGCTACACTTTACAGACTCTATAAATGCATTGAACCATATGTGATAATTGGTATATTGAATGCAATTTCCTTCACTTATTTTTTTATAGGACACCAATCTGCTTCCAGATGGAGTATTTATTAATCTAGACAATAGTGTACACATTACCACGGCAACCTGGCAACATGTGGGAAAGTACACTTGTGTGGCATCCAATGTTGTTGGTTCAGAGAACATGTCAGCAAAGCTCTCTCTCCAAGGTAAATTTGCATGTCTTTTATTACATGCATTTTTTGGGGGGGGGGGGGGGGGGCTCCCATCGTTGAAGATATTGTATTTTGTATTTTATTATCGCAAATTCTTCTTGATTTAAACTTTAAACAAATATTGTCTATTCTTAGTGCCTCCAAAAGTGAAATATATTCAAGGAGATCTAATTGTTGTAAGAAACCGGGCCACCACCCTAACCTGTAAAGCAGAGGGGATCCCTGCCCCACATGTCATTTGGTACAGGCGAGGATCCAAGATTCTCTCCACTGCAGATGGGAGGATTGTAGTAACTAGTGAGAGACAACTCCTCATTAAGGTCGCCAATGCAGGGGATGGAGGTACAGCTTTAACAAAAGTTCATGACGTGTATTTAAGATTTTACATGATTTTATCACTTAAAATTTACAGAAAAAAACAAATAAACCTTTAAATATGGCAATATATAGAATTGATGTTTTCAATATTATCAGGTGACTATACTTGTTCTGCTGTCAATGAAGCAGGATCAGATCAAGCTGAAGTCTCTCTCCATATTGTCCGTAAGTTCTACATATTGTTCGTAAGTTCTCCATATTGTCCGTAAGTTCTCCATATTGTCTATAAATTCTCCATATTGTCAGTAAGTTCTTCATATTGTCCATAAGTTTTTCATATTTTTTATACATGTAAGTTCTCTATATTGTCCATATTAAGTTCTTCCTATTTCTTCAATGTCCATTAAATCTCCTTCACTAAGATCAATATTGAAATTTTTCTGGGGAATATCAAACCATATTTACTACTGATAGAGTCCATAATTGTACATTATGACCAGAAATATAGTGTCTCATAGATTCCATTAATTTGAATCAGAAAAAATGTATTTGTACTATTAAAACATTAAATAAGAATATCAGGAAATATGCTTTACCATGGTTTTGCGTAGATACAGACCTCACAAGCTCAGTCCACTCGACCACACAAAGACCTAAGGCAAGCATATTTCCCAATATTCAGTCAATACCCTATAAATATTGTCCGTAGGTTCTCCTTATTATCCATAAGTTCTCCATATTGTCTTAAGTTCTCCATATTGTCTTAAGTTCTCCATTGTTCTTATTATAAATTCTCCAAACCTCTTTGTAAAAGCTAATGGCTGCTGGCAATTTGTAATTCTAGAGGTGTACATTTTATGTATATTTTATGTTTTGCAATAAATGAGGGATATTCAGATTGATGTCTTTTAAAATTATTTGATTCCTGTAAATGTTTCAAGAGCCACCATTACCACCGACTTTGTTGGACCCCATAGCAACATCTTCGACCTCTGTGACCTTGAGATGGACACCGGTCACACAGAACTGGTACACATCAGTGACCAACTATATAGCATACTATAAACAGAGGTACGCCACATTAAATCTTTATAGGACATAAGAGATTATCTTTTCTGAATTTCTTAGTAATGCTATTTATTCCCTTTATGTTCAATACATGTAACCCAGAACTTTATTTTTTCAGTTGATATTTGTGGAATATTATCCACTTCATTTGCTCCTTGCTTTCATTAGATATACATAATTCCAAAAAATAAAGACTTGTATTTTTATAACAATTTCTATTCTTTTACATGTATACATGTATCTATTCTATACTTCATGTATTCAGCTAATATTAAGAATACAAAGGTGTATCTTTTTAAGCATATGAAGTGAATGCTGAGAGGTAATGACATTGTATGGTCTGGTGGACTTTATATATATATATTGACTGTTATTTTCTTTTTTTTTCTCTGATAGTTTCTAACTTCTTTTGTTGTACTCTAACCATGTCAGTGCAATATTTTGAATTAATTTTTCCAGTAATCTAACATTTTCTGCCTATCCATGCTTGTGTAAGGGGTAATGTCCAAGTATATATCTCCATTCCTTAAAGATAACTGAGCCAAGGCCCCAAAGGGACAAAGGGTCATTGTTTTTAAGGACTGGGGAGGTACAAGGATATTGTTCCACTTAAAATCCACCTTTGCGTAGCCCTCACAAATTTTATGGAATGTTTATTTGGGTATAAAAAGGGAATTTCTACTCTATTGCCTTAAATTTAAATGCATGAAATTAAAATGACAGCTTTTTCTTTACCAAACCATGCAGAATTAAAGGAAGAATGAATTAGTATGATTTAGAAAATTACAGACATTTTCATTCCATTGAAAGTGACAATATTAAGATATAAGGGATCTAGTATGTAATTTTTGAGGATGGAACATGTTTATGAGAATGAAAGAAATGAAAGTTTTCAAAATAAAATCATACAGTATAACATTAGTTTTGAGAATATTTAATGCATGATTCATCCAAAGTGTTTCTTAGAATAAGCTGTCTGTACATGCCAACTTTTGAAAATTCCTATGGGGGGTTTTACACTTACTGATAATTTTGAAAGCTTTAAATTAGCAACATTTTGTCATGAAAATAAATATTATCCTATTTTTTGCCCCTGGCTTTCACTGAAAGTGGGGGATATTAATTTGGGTCTGTCCATCTGTCTAGCTGTATTTCTGTCTATAACACTTATGCTTCCGGGCGATATCTCGAGAAGCCTTTCAGCTTTTGCAATGCAATTTTACATCACAACTCCCTACCACCCATAGAAGACCCCTATTGATTTTGAGGTCAAAAGGTCAAGGTCATAAATTTATACTTTCTCTTTGTGTGTAACACAGCTTTTGAGTTTTAAATTTGCAATGAAATTTTATACCATAACTCCCTAGGGCTTCGCTCGCCCTCTGAAAGTGTCCTGCCCTGTTGTTTTTTGGTCAATTAAGTCACAGGGGTCCATATGTTTTTTTTATTTTGGTCAATTAAGTCACAGAGGTCTATATTTTCGGGAGGGGGGGGGTGTCCAAAGTAACTTTTGTTTATTTATATACCGGTAAGTCTGGAAATCCTTGGGAGGGGGTTCAGACCCTCCTTCTGCCTCTAGATCCACGCAACCTTTTTTTCTCATTAACAAAGAGGGATCTAATTCATTTCTGCAATAGATTTTTTATTCAAATTTTAATATGAGTTGAAGTGACTTTTGGTGAGTTAAAATCAATAAAAAATATCATATGGTCATCGATGTAGATTTTTAATGGGGAGTGTTTCAAAAGTTGGTGATGGAAATTTATAATTACTATAGGAAGTAATGGGAAATTGCCAGCATAGGGTATAAGAGTGATCATTGAAAAAATTCTGCAATAGAATTTTTATTCATATTAAAGGACAATGTTAACAAGAAAATTTACCAGCAAATTATGCCAAAAAATAAATGGGTCATCTGCTTAGATTTTTCAGGGATGGGGCATGTCAAACTCAGGTGTAGGGCACATTTTGGGGGAAATTTTCAATGAAAGGAAATTTTCAGTGAAAGTAAGTTGGCCAAATAAATTATTTATTGATAAAATCAACAAATGAATATAAAGATTTAAAATATTTTTGAATTGAGAGGAAATGTTTGAATGTCTTTAAAAGAATTAAAAATGTATATTTTTTATCTTTTGCAATACATAATTAAGTCAATTTGATTCAAGGTATATGAGCGGTTTTCTGCGCAGTAGTTCGAATTAGGTCCGTCGTCCTTAAGTTAAGAACTCAAATTCTCTGAATTAGCTTGTCAAATATGTAAATTAGATAAAAAGTTTCAAGTCCCTATTATGATGTAGAGTGAATAAAAAAGTTATTTTATTTGATGTACATTTGAAAAAAGTTTGAAAAATTAACATTCATTTTTTAATTATAAAAATGGGGGTTATTATGAAGAATTACTTTCCAACAGTGCTCTCCATAGTTTATAGAAAAATGATAAATGGCGAGAATAGAATATTGTATTGTGAAGGGTGCTCATTGTTCTCAACTCTGCATTCCTAAAAAATAATGAAACACTCGAACAATAGAGTGATATGTCACGGGTGGATTTTAATTTCATTTTCTTTCTGCATTGTACATGTATATATACAATTAATGATGTGTAGTTGGTGTGAATTATGGATAACAATATGAGTATGTTTGAATAATAGATGGTCAGATTTTTTTTTAGACACTGAACAAGATTTCTTCACATGGTCCAAAACACAAAATTAAAGTTAAAAATAACCTGTTTAATTAATTTATTGAAGAGGGAGAGAGAGAATAAGTTCATGCATAGTAATATAGACTGGTGATGTTTGATATTGAAAATTGATTGACTAGTAATTAGAGAGGCAACTCTTTGATCGATACAAAAAAACTGGAAGTAAATTTATTTTTTGTGGTCATTAACATTAGATTGATTGACAATATTTATTTTAGAAGATGAATTTTCAAAGAAACCACATTCTCTGGGAATTCTGAATATTTTCATGATAATATTTTAAGTATATATTTTCAGAAATATTTTATTAAATACACTGTAGTCTTTTAATTTTTTTATAGACATGAGCTGACGTACACTAAATATGATATCCTGGCAGGAGCCAATGATGTGTCTCATAATGTACAGGGTCTGCAGTCTGGGGCGGAATACTTGTTTGTGGTAACAGCCACAAATCAGGCAGGGGAGGGAGGGAGGAGTAACAGTAGATCAGCCAAAACTTTTAATGCAGGTTTGTCTGTATGTCTTAAACTCAAGTTAAATAAGCTACTGTTCTTTGTATAATGACTGTGAATATTGATTTGAAACAAAAGTAAAGAATGCAAGGAAATAGGTAATGATTTAAATGTCTATACATGTATTTCTGTGTATCATGATAGATCCATCAAGCCCCAGAAATGTGCATATTAGTAATGTGGCATCAAGCTCCATCACAGTTAGCTGGGAGGTTCCAGAAAAAACTAATGGAATTATTCAGAAGTACCAGATCTGGTATCAAATTAGCCAATCAAATGAAGGTATGTAATATTTTGTAGTCATAGCTATATAATCGTTGTTTTCATTTTTATCAACACAGCAATTTAGTTTTAAAAAAATAAAAACACCAGTGTGTATATTAATGTCTCAAACAATAAACTGATAAATGCCATGCTGATTATCTAAATTAACTTACAGGGCCAGAGAAAATTCAGGTTCGGGCTCCTACCACTTCCTACACTGTGACAGGGCTACTAGCTTACACCAAGTACCAGTTTAATGTCAGAGCAGCCACAGTGGAGAACGATGTTGATCTGTGGGGAAATTTCTCCACCATGGTGGTCACTAGAACAGAGGCGGCAGGTAAAGAAATCTGATTTCTGTGTAAAGACCTTGACCCGAGGTCATTCTGGCAAGTTCTAGGTCACTGACAAAAAAAAATTACAGTAATTGTGTCTGGTCTATGTATCCCTAATGGAGAAGCAGTGGAAGTTTGTACCTCATATAAAGATTTCTTATCACCTGAGGATGTGTCATGACCTTAACCCAAGGACATTTGATCAAGTTCAAGGTCACTTTTAGAAAAATGTTAAATTCCTGACCTCATCATATCTTGTAATGGAGAGCATTAAAAGCTCACGCTTATCACAAATATTGCTTATTACATGAGTATATGTATTGACATTGATCCAAGGTAATTCAAGGTCACTGATAGTTAAAGAGTATTAATTGTTTTTTGATCTATAATTCCCCTGTGGAGGCTACTTGGAAGTTTATACTTGACAAAAATATTCCTTTTGATTGATCTTGATCCAAGATCATTTTGGCAAGTTGAAAGTCACTGGCAGAAGTAGAGTTGAAGTAGATCTATAACTTACTAATGGGAAAACATTGGAAGTTCTAACTTTACACAAATATTACAAGTCCTAAAAATGTGTCATAGCCTTGACCCAAGGTTATTCTGGCAAGTTCAAGGTCAGTTAATGGATTTGTGTTGGATGTTGATATTTAAACCATCAATTACTAGAACAATGAGGATGTCTTCACGTTGACTCAAGGTTATTCTGGCAAGTTCAAGGTCTCTGGCCAAAAAGTGTAAAATTCATGTCAGGTTTATAACTTTCTTGTTGAGAAATATTGGATGCACAAATTTCACTTTAAGATTACTTGTGAGAATTGTCGTTTTCTTTAACTAAGGTCATTTTGCAAGTTCAAGGTCACATTTAGAAAATTTTATATTGGCAATTAAAAATTGCAGCAAGGGGTAAATTTACTGAGTTTGCTCACAGTACCATTTTTTTTTTATACCCCTGCCATGAAATGTTCAGGGCATATAGTGTAACCCCTTTCCATCAGGCGTATTGTCATTGTCGTTCTGTCATTCTATTATAGTTATTTTCCCAGACTTTTTTTTCCATAGCTTGTAGATAATGAGCTGATTTTTGGTATGTATTTTGATGTTGATGACTTTCAAATCAAATTCAAGTAACATTTTTTTGACCCATTATTATGAAAGTTATTGTGCTTTGATTCAGAAAATTTCTAATTTTTCAGTGTTTTCCAAAATTTTTTTATTGTTCTTGTAGTAAAGAGCTGGTATTCTTGTGTTTCTTTATATTGATGACTTACAGATCAATTTGAGTTTCATGTTAATTGACTCATTTTCCCAAAAGTTACTGCCCTTGATTTTGGAATTATTTTGGTGATGTGTTTGTAGTTGATCACCATTTCCATGCAGATAATTTATATTTGGTATTGACAACTAATTCAAGCAAGAAAACAATTTTAAAGCAGCAATATGTTGTTTTATTTTTGTCTCATTTCCACTCTGTAGTATTTTAATATCGTTGGACTTTCAAAAGATTTAAAAGTTGCAGGGGCATTCGAGTCATACTGACACATGTAGTTTTTATAATGTATCTTTTTATATCAGAATGTATTAATGTGTATGTTCATTGTAGCTCCAGGTGGTGCCCCACTTTCAGTTGAAGTGAGGCCGATGTCTTCCACTGAAGTGCAAGTTTCTTGGCAGGCAAGTTTTCAATTTATTTTGCATTTTTTTCTATGTCATCTAAGGCTCTTTCTATTTTATTTGGCTATTATGAGGCAGTTTTAGTTCCTCTGTTTTGCCATACATGCACATAAATGAATGTAGCATAAACAGAGATCAGTATAATGCTAATTCAGGTTGCCCCCTTTTGCTTCTTTAATTTATACTTGCATCTTATATATCAATGAATAGAGAATGAAGATTTATTTTAAAATTTTATACAATTACATATATCTGACTGAGTATTATATAAATTGTGTATTGTAGGCCCTATCCAATAACAAACATAATGGACCCCTGAAATTCTACCATATAAGATACAAGTCTACAGCGCCTTCTTCTGGCTTCTCGGAGGTGAAGACCGTTAATTTTAGTGAGACTTCTGGGATGATAAATAACCTTCAACCCTGGACAGAGTACGCCATTACCGTGGAGATGGAGAATGTGGCAGGAACAGGTCCCCCCAGTCCAGAGGTCAAAGTTCGTACTTATGCATTAGGTTAGGAGAAGCTCTTCTTAACTGCCTTTAAGACTTATGTTTGTTGGAAATGTTTTATATTTGTATATGAAGAATTTTTGTGGTTTATCTGGCAAGGAAGAGGTGGGGGAGCTACATGTGTATTTGTTTTACATCGAAAATGAATCTTACATGCATTGGTCTTTTTTCATTCTTTTTAATATGTGATTGTATCCTCCTATACTTACATGTATGATCTTCAAATTCATGTTTAAAAATGACCAGCTTTTTATTATAAAAGAATATTTATTTTAACTTTTTCAGCCCCTAGTAGTCCCCCAACAAATATCCGACTTACGGCAGTGTCCAGCAGTGTAGTCAGTATACAGTTTAAGGTACATGTACACAGTTATTGAATTTCTACTATACATACAAACATATTTTCCTACTACGCACTGGATGTTGTGAAACTATATACAGCAATGTAAGTATATGTATGAATTTTGAAATTATGTACTTGATTGTATTTATTGACAGTTCAGCTGATTTAATTTAGCACATTATGATAAATCAGTCTCTTTTAGTTCCATCAGTGATATAAACCATTAAATTACTTTTAGTTACCAGACCCCTCCACTTGGAATAGTGATATTTCTGGTATAGTAGTGGAGGTTCAGAAAGATGGGGATAAATCGTCAAGGGAGGTCACTCTTCCTACAACTCCAGGCCCTCTCCCATACAATATCAGGTGAGAATTTTAATACTGATGAAATTCAGCTGGTGATGAAATGGTGGGGGGTGGAAAGGATTTTTTTTATATCAAATAGATAATAGTGTGATTCAGGGATACATGTTTATTTTCATCAAACTGAAAAAGATATAAAATGTAAGGGGGGAAAAAGTTTTCAGTATTTTAATTCAAAGGTATGGGATAAAAATCTGTGACATTTGTGACTGATGTTCATTTATTCTGATTTCAGTGACCTTGAACCATGGACTTTGTACAATGTTAGAGTTGCACTATACACATCTCAGGCAGACAACGGAACAGGCCCTTGGAGTGAATGGAGGCTAGTTCAGACCCAACAGTCAGGTATATGTAGAGTTTACTTTGCACATTTTTACAGAAAAGGTGTTGTTTTCAAGGAAAAGGTTCTTTTCTTCAGACAATATATCTTTATGTAATTTTTGTATCCTAGAAAAATACAATGTACTACTTTAAATTTTGAATTGTAGAACCAGACAAGGTTAGGCAGTTTGGTTACCAAGGAACCCCTACCAGTATAACCGTTTACTGGTCACCTCCCCTTAAACCTAATGGAGTCCTTGATTTCTATGTAGTTAAGCACTACCCTTTACCAAACGGACAGACAAACAAACAGAATGGTCTCACGGAATCGGCAGAAGCTTACTTGTCACCTGTTCCTTATCCAGTTATATATAATGCCTGTGATTCTCTGATTGATTTGAATTCTTCTTTTTCATCAATCATGGATGACATCCTTCAGGAGATTCTAGAAAACAGAGACTCCATCATGATGAACAATTTTTCTGCATTTGTATTCAATTTTATAAATCTTCATTTGACATCAAATAATGTCACAGATGAGGAGAATTTTAATTTGAGCCTTAGTATAATCAGTGATTCCTTTAGTATACTGGATTTGAATGCACTGACTTGGATATCTGCCTGGAATAGATCAGTGTTTGATCTTTGCAGTGAATTATTGTGGGTCAGAAATGGTAATCAATTCATTTACGCTGCTTTATAAAGATGTTTGAACAGAATTTTCACATCTTTCCAAAATTAAATTTGTCCTTATATATGGTTTTCATATTTTCAGATACACAATTTATATTCTTTTTGTTTAGGTCTGATATACAAAAATACCACAGCGACCCGGACTGTCTTAGAGAACCTGCAGCCCTCCACGGAATACGTGGTGGGAATATCAGCCATCAACCCCAAGGGAGAGGGCACTGTTTCAGTACATACTGCCAAAACTGGTATTTATATAGAATTAATATAGTGTGATTGTTCTTTTTATTCACATGGATATTATTTTATTATTATTTAGAAATACTATTTATAACTTTTTACAAGAGTACTAATAATGCAGCATTAAGTTGTGCAAATATACATTTAAAATGTATCAACATACATGTATTTATCTGGGTATAATACAAAATTAAAGTTTCTGCTTTTGTAGACTCTCTTCCCCCACCTCCATCAACACCAAACACCACAGACAGTACCACCACAAACACCACCACTGCCCTTAGTAACTCCCTGCCCCAGGGTCAGGAGGACAAACTACCAGTGTACTTAGGGGGTGTGGCAGCAGGGGCTGTACTGGTCATCTTCATACTGGCCATAGTTCTGTGTATCTGCATCAAGCAGAGAGAGAGGCAGAATCTGGTGGCTTATGGAAACTTTGGTAAGTTGATTGGACATTTGTTTTCTTTGTCTTTGATTCTTATGAAGGCTTTTAATCATAGCATATCAAAAGTTTTCGAGAAAAAAATTTAATTTATCATCTTGTTTTTATAGAAACAAGGTCATCTGAAGGGAAATTTGGGGAAATGCCCAGAGACAGGTCACCAAGGTAAAAAGAAAAAGTTTTTAAAAAAATCCAAAGACAGGATTGTTTAAATTGGTCTATGTATAATGTATTTGAGGAATGGACATATATGGTATTTTTTAGCTTGTCAACCAAAGATGCTTCTGAGGATAATAATAACAGAGATACTAGGCACTCCACATCCAGAATCCACTTTCTGGGGGATGCAGTCAAATATGGTACCAACTCTACAGTATCTGAAACACAGGTATTGTACTTTATCTTTCACCGAGTTGAGATTGAAAATCGCTAAAATCCAAGGTATTTAAAGTTTAAATTGTAGGTAAGAGTTCACCAATTATACTCTGTGCAGATAAATTTTGGATATAGAAAAGAAATGTCTTTTTGTCAGACTGTCCATCTAACCTCATGTTTGGTTAGAATGTTGTAATAGAGAAGTGCAAGATGTACACACGATATACAAATGTTACAATGAACCAGGTGAAATGGGTATATTTGGACATGGTGAAATGGATTTTGCATTCTTTCCAGATTATAACTTTTGTGACTCTTACCCTGTACTTCCTTGTTGTTTTATATTTTACACAGCATATTATTTTATTTGGATTACAGAGCTATGGTCATCTGAAGGAGAGCCAATCAGTGGCTGCTTCCTCCACCTTCCCAGGTATCCGAATCCACAAACCAGACCCAACAGGTGAGTACGTTAACTGTGTATGACTAAGTACTTGTACATATTGTAGTACTTAATGTTAATGTAAAATGGACATCCACATGTATCTTCAAATCCAAGAAATGCTTCTTGTTGAAAAAAAAATGAAATTTTATATGAACAGCTGATTCTGGGTAATAACAATATCCATATAAATTATGCTTTCCAGAGTAAAAATTGGTATTTATGCAATTATTGCACACTACATGTACACATCCTTCCCATGGCCTAAGTATAAAAATGCCCAAAGCCAAAAACAGAGATTCTGACCCCCTATTCAGAGTCTCAGGGGGTCATATTTAGAATGAATCAAAAGAGGAAGCTTTTGATCAGTTCTGAAAATTACAAAGTTCTGCCCTTATTCTATCTAATTTTATAGATCCTCTGATATACATAGGCATAGGAGTTTCATAAAAGCATTTTTCTAGATTTCCATACCTTTGAAATGGGGGGGGGCAGTTTAGGAGCCACTTAATATGCAGGAACACAATCTAGGGATCATAAAAATGAGAAAAACACAATAGAAGATGACAAAGAAAAAGGAAGGAAGAAAAGAGAGGAAAATTGCACCCTTAAAGCAAAAATGAAGCTTTTGAGCATACTTCCAGTTGGAGTGACCTCTAAACACTGTACGATTGATGCTATTGATCATTCATTAGCAAATTAAACATACATTGTCTTAATGCAGAATATTTATTGATAAGGTAGTTTGTTTATTTTATTTATGATTTTTTTATTTTTTTATCAGACCACTCCCCTTCAGATGAACATTTTTTAAAATCTCATCAAAAGATATAGTTTGATTTTGATCTAACATAGATTTATAAACTGTGCATCTAACTTCATTTTTAATAAAACAATTCTTTAGATTTTGACACTGTGATTTTTCACATTTTGCCCTAACTTATTTCTAGGTATAGAAAATCTGTCCTACAAGCAGGGTGTGTCTGACCCTGGGGGTGAGTGGCGACCAGACAGGGAATCTATCTGTGTCTCCATGGATCTCTCTGCGGAGGAAGTCTACTCACGGGTAAGGGAGCTCACTGCTAGGGATGTGTATCAATAGAACTCACTGCTAGGGAGGAGTATCAATAGAGCTCACTGCTAGGGTGGAGTTTCAATAGAGCTCACTGCTAGAGAGGAGTATCAATAGAGCTCACTGCTAGGGAGGAGTATCAATAGAGCTCACTGCTAGGGTGGAGTATCAATAGAGCTCACAGCTAGGAAGGAGTATCAATAGAGCTCACTTCTAGAGAGGAGTATCAATAGAGCTCACTGCTAGGGAGGAGTATAAAATAGAGCTCACTGCTAGGGAGGAGTATCAATAGAGCTCACTGCTAGGGAGGAGTATCAATAGAGCTCACTGCTAGGGAGGAGTATCAATAGAGCTCACTGCTAGGGAGGAGTATAAAATAGAGCTCACTGCAAGGGAACAGTATCAATAGAGCTCACTGCTAGAGAGGAGTATCAATAGAGCTCACTGCTAGGGAGGAGTATCAATAGAGCTCACTGCTAGGGAGGAGTATAAAATAGAGCTCACTGCAAGGGAAGAGTATCAATAGAGCTCATTGCTAGAGAGGAGTATCAATAGAGCTCACTGCTAGGGAGAAGTATCAATAGAGCTCACAGTTAGGGAGGAGTATCAATAGAGTTCACGGCTAGGGAGGAGTATCAATATAGCTTACTTTTAGGGAGGAGTATCAATAGAGCTTACTGCTAGGAAGGAGTATCAGTAGAGCTCACTGCTAGGGTGAAGTATCAATACACAAAAAATGTATTGTCATGCATTAATATTTTGACTTTACATATCATGATACACATCACTTTTCACTTGTTTTATAAAGTTTTTTTTTTTTTTTTTTTTTTTAAAAACTTCTCTAAAGTAATTCTGTAATATTGTTATGAATAAATTTATCTTTCAATCTACAAATACATTTGTTTAACAAATTTAGGATTGAGTGGAATCAATAATTCAAAATTTTATTTCTTAAACAACGTTTTACAATAAGTAAAGCACTTAATTGATGCAAATTCATATTTCTAAACTGTGAAAAAAGGGACACTGATTTCCAAATTTCTGTACTGGGAAGATTTGAGTGAAACATGATATATTGGTACAACACTTATCAGAGCTCTATGGAGCTTCCCTTTTCATGTATATATTCAAAAAAGTGCGTAGTTCAAAGTCATAGTGTAAGAAAATATCTCTCCAATTGACATATAAATTGACTTTTTATTTCATGTTTAATGAAAGTTATCTTTCTTGTCCCAGGCTTCCACACTGCAAAGGAAAGGCCAACTGAAAACAGAGAATGCAGAAGCAATAGCTGTGATGAGGAATAGTAACCTACCACTAGGTGTTGATGATACAGACTCTCTCATACCTAATGATTCTGTAGTCATTTTTGCAGAAAGGACTGCCCTTTGATTTAAAATGTAAATTCTCAGTTTAATATTCATGGCATAAAATGACAAACTTTGTCAAAGTTTGTTGTTCACAGCCATATTGAAACACAAGCTGTTTAACACAGTATGTTGTTCAATCAGTTCCTACCGTATATACTCGCCTATAAGTCGGTCCGCCTATAAGTCGGCTGTATTTTTTAAGCTTATATTAGAGGGCTTGAAACTCTAAAATACCAATCTTTTTATAACTCGCCTATGAGTCGGATATAGAGTTTTGGACCAATATTTAACTCCCAAAAAACCGACTTATAGGCGAGTATATACGGTAGTTTTAAGACTTGCAGATCACTTATCATTGCTGGGTTTTTTTTATGCCCCCATAATTGAAGACTTGTGGGCTTATAGTTTTTGGTATGTCTGTTTATCTACAAAAACTTTAACCTTGCCTATAACTTTTATATGGTTGGTGATGGGGCTTCTAAATTTCTAATGTATATTCCTTGTGACAAGACCTTCCTTTGGGTACCAAAATGTTTTAACTCTTGACCTTGGAGTTTGACCTACGTTTGAAAACTTTAGCCTTGGCATTGAACTGCCATATAGGGCCACCATTGTTTCACAAACACAATTTGTTTATACATTACATTAAGATAGCCTCTCAAGTTTGCAATTCTTGTTACTTCTCAACTTATCACTAAATTCTCTTTGCTAATAATTCACATCATGGTTTGTCCATTCTTCGCTGTATTACCTACATATATGACGCCTCCAGTTGAGATTCAGGGTGCATTGAACATGTTCCTCAGGTAATTTTGAAAAGACAAAATCACTGTTGTCAATATCATGGTTGTCTGTGAAAGAACTATGTGGTTAGACAAGATTTCTAAATTCCAAGTGTACTGTCTCACAAGGAAGGAGATGACACCTTTGCTGTGAGGAAGCCACATTAACAAAGAAAGATAAATTTTTTTTTTATTTCTAGACAGTAGAGCAGTTTTTCAATTGTCTATGCAAGAACTACAGTATCTGGTTCAAAACAAGGTTTCAATAACACAATTATATGGAATTGTGTTTGTCTTCTGTTGTTTAAATATTGATGTATTTAAATTAAGTATTGATTAAAGCAGAGTAAGGAATTGATATTTTTATGAAAGATTCATATATGCTGTTGTATGAAATTGTAATTAAGTTGGTAATTTTAGTTAAGTCTATTGACATTCCAAAATATTTGCATGATTGTATGTAAATAGATTTAAGGGTTAATGAAATGTGTTAGCATTCCAAATAATTGTAGGTTGTGTTTTACAAAGAAAATCCACCAGAATAATGACCAATAATCAATATTCCTTTTGTGCTTACAAGCATGTACACATTTATTGCTGACATGATTTTGTGTGGTTGTTTTTATATTTTGATAAAAAGTGTGCTATTGAAATGATGCATTTACATTTTCTCCATAATTGAATGTCATCTTTCTTTTTTTAACTGATGGGCAACCAAGTATACATGTATCATTGTTGTGTATTAGAGCACAAGTACTTATACTTCCCGTAATAAACACACTTTCTCTGATGTTTTCAAAATATTTTATAGCTATAATTATCTTTCAAATGTACAGATCACTGTTAAAGTCATATATGGTGTATTTTTTATAAATTCAGACTAACTAAAATTAAAAAGATCTTTCGATTTGTTTTGTCACTTTATATAAAGATAGAACTTTCCTGTAAATTTCACAATTAAAATCAATCACATTTCAAGGATATTAGAATTTTAAAACAAGAACTGATTTATTTACCGACTCCGCATTTAATTACAGGCACGGTTTAAAATCAATTTAACTACAGAAACATGAGATTATTTAAGTTCAAAATCGGTGAAAATTTTAATTTGAACGTAAATAACATATATCATGTTTATCCAACTCAATCTCGTATTTTTATTTTTTAGCTCAGATACAGCATATATAGTTTTAATTATGAAAGAATATTAAGAAAAGTAAATGAAGGTGTTTTATGTGTATTGAGATTGTGATTTTTTATATGTGTGTTTGTTACAAAATTTCAACTATCACTTGATTTTGAATTTCTATATGAATTAAAGTTTATACTTGCACAGGATATTAAAAGATGAATAGACTTGTTTTCCATTTCTCATATGGTATCTTGAGATGCAAGGATCTAGTCTGTACAATTTTTACCCGGAGGGCCTAAAATTCAAAAATATCCCTAATCCCAATATTGATTGTTATTAAGCGGAATTTGCTTGATTGTAGCAATAATAATTTTGAGACAGTTTTCCTCAAAAAGCATAAAATTTTAAATCAAATGCCTTAAAATAATGCAGCAGTCTCAAAATCATGATATCAGTCGCTTATACAGTACATTATGTATAATGCCCTGCATCGAGTCCCATAGTAATCACTGTCAACACTGTCATATGATGCAAGAATTTGAGTATGTTACACTTTCTAACCTTCAGACTTCATAATTTCTAAAAAGGTTACAAACATGTATGTAATTGCTACAACCAAAGAGTTATTGAATGCAATAACTTGCAGACTTCACATCAACTGCCCATGCTGAGAATGGTTAGAAGTGGACTCGTTATTATATTATTATTGATCAAGACACAGCCAAAGACTGTAATAATTGATACAGCTATAGAGATGATATATGTAGAATTTTATAAACTACAGAATTCATATTTAACTACACGTAGGCATAGAATTCTATCATCAATTAATGGTCTTCATCAATAATTTCATACACAAGTTTCCCTCTGTTCCCTTAGACTTCACCCAGCCTTTTTGTAATTTTTTCAAGTTGAGAAATCCTTCCTAAGCTTTGCCATTACATCTACAGATTAAACAGTAAGAATCATATTGACCTCCACCCGGTTATTTTCCACTATCTTTTTCTCCTGGTGTTGTATAGACTAAGACATTTGACCAAGTTGTAAAAGGCAAACAGACTCTTAAGAACAATGCCCCCTTTCTTTCTTCTATTTTTTATAATCATTAAAAAAAGAAACGCTGTTCTTCTCCTGATTTAATTTTACAACAGATTTATGTATATATATCAACTAAATTATAAATAATATCTTTTATTTGTAATTCATCTCTAAAACCTGAGCACTTAAATGGATCAACAATATTAATTCCCACAAATCACAGATCACTGAAACTCCAATGAGTGAATCAACTTGCATTGTACTGTGCTAATGTCAGAGGTTATTGAATGATGATTTTATAATTCACTGCATGATGGTCAGATGTAATAAAATTCTTTAGCTGTTGGCTTTGGCCAATAATTCCCTGGAAATGATCACCCTCTGTATCTGTGCTGTGCCTTCATAGATCTGGAAAAGAAATTAAACAGTCTTTGAGCTCACAAAGTCACAACTATAAATAAATCCTCTTATTTAGGCCATTGAAACAAAATCTATGATTTCATGAATTTTAATTTACAGTATATATCTAGGCTTGATGACAACAAACAGCATACAAACTCCATATATACATGTATCTCTGTACAAATCTTTGTTCCATGATTGTGGCCCTTACAGAGTCCTGAGGGCAATATGTTTTGAACAAACTTGATTTTGCTTTTGCAAAAATGAAAAAAAAAAAGCTTGTACAGATCACTACAACAGAACTAAGCTTGTGTATCTCTCTAAGACAACTTGCCTGATAAATTTTAGCATCTCTCATTAACTTCTCAACTGGATATTCTGAATTGAAGCCATTTCCTCCAAATACCTGAAATGGATTAATTTCAGAAAAATATAAATGTATTTTCATTTTCTTGCAAAATGTTCAATCAATGTAACAGGAAAGGAGAAAATGTGACAGACCAGACTGGAACTCAAACTAGCTATCTGACCAGCCTGTCTGATTTCTATCTTTCTCCCCTTTAAATGTCTCTTTTTCTTAAGGACAACAAATTCCTCCCTCTTTTTAAAAGTATTTTCATCACCCCAAAACACTAATTCAGTCTCAATCTTGGCAGGCTTTACACATATGAATTCCAAAGCAGGGTGACAGCAATGAATATAATAGGGAGGGTGTTGATATGACAGGCTTGTTCAGGATTCAAATCTAAGGCTTCCTGAACTCAATACAGTGCTCAATCATATGACTTACACTGTATATAGCCAACAGCAATCTAATCAGCCTGATTGCCACATATTAACCCCCCCCCCCACCTTCCAAAGTCTCATGGTTATTCTTAATGATTATTAAATGTAAATGTTACCATATAAATGAATACTGAGAGATATAAGGAATTGTAACATTTAGACACCCCATCCATAAAATACTGAGAAAACGAGAACTAGAGTTAATCATCACCTGTACAGCATCAGTGGCACATTTGTTGGCAACGTCGCCAGCTAAGGCCTTGGCAATGGAGGCGTAGTATGTGTTCCTCCTGCCTTGGTCAATCTCCCAAGCTGACCTCTGTGTGGCGAGCCTGGCCGTCTCCACACCTATAGCCATGTCTGCCAGTATAAATGCTACAGCTTGGTGCTACCAAGTTTAAAATAGAAAAGGAGAATGACTATGTAATTTTGATTCTAATTTTAAACAATAAGGTTTACCCATTGTACCTTTGCTTACATGTAATTAATTTTTCTTTTTAAGAATTAAAATTACATGAAAGTACACATGAACAGAAACAATTACCTCACAGATAAGTTTTCCCATGGTTTTCCTTTCCATAGAGTATTTTGTGGCCTCATCCAGAGCTCTTTGTGCCAGCCCAACAGCTCCTGCTGCCACCTACACAATCAAATCCAGAACACTTATATTTATAGAAGACAAAGAGAATATAAGTAGAATTTTTGTAGAACTTATCCAGATCAAACAAAAAATAAATGAGAGGCTCTCCAAAGTTGCTTGATTTCATGAAAATTTCAAATTCATTGGAAAGTTTGACATCTTTCCTTTTTTCAAAAAAGATTTGATGTGTCACTTCATATTAGCACAATAAATCTGCTACATACAGACTCTATTCCTCTGCAATTAAAACTTACTGGAGGTCTTGTTTTGTCAAAAGCTCCCATTGCTATCTTGAATCCCATGCCTTCGGAGCCCAGCACATTCTGCAATAACAAAAGTAGGAAGCTTCATCTGTAAATTCAGTAAAATCAGTTTAAAAGTACAAGACACTGACTCTTGTTAATTCTGTAAAGAATGGCAAATATTTCTAAAAACAACTGTATAAAACCAACCTCTGCTGGAACTACTACATCTTCAAAAGTTATTCCCCTTGTGTCAGATGCTCTTTGGCCCATATTCCACTCCTAAAATATATAAACATTGTCTAGATTTAATTGGTACATTAATTAGACAGCTTATTCATCAGAAAAGACCCAAATGATACATATATTATACGAGTGTCAGTCTCCTGTCTATAAATATCTCCATTGTATTAAAATGGTCTGTGTTTTATAATTGGGGGTATTGAAAGCAATACTTTTTATTTATAGTTGTAGTTTGTCAGAGTGAATAATTATGTTACCAATCACCAAGAAATGAACATCTTTTTAGACAATTTATTTCAATGTGCCAACAAAGAAAAACAAGAGACCCAAGGGCCTAAACGGTCACCTGAGTATAATACAACAATTTAGAGGATCCACAGAGTATAAAATGAACTGAAAGGTGAAACTTTATTGCTCAAAAGCAAGAAAAATAGGGTGATCAGGATCAACAAAATAATTAGTCTAGTATTTATTAACAGTTCATAAATTAGGTTCTAATCTGTTCCCCATTTATCACTATCACTATACAGTATATTAACAAGAAACATATTGACGCAGGCATCAAAAAATCAATTCTCTTTTCTGAGGCAAGAAACTGAAATGTGTGATCTGTTGTTAATATATCTGATATTAATCTGTTAATATAACCCAGTGACATAAAATATTGCATGTGTGGATTTCATTTTTCAACAACCGAATCTTTCTCATACATAATTTGCGTTTCACGGAATATCTTACTTTAATAGTAAAACAAAACAAATATTTGGGACTCCTCTCTCTCTCTCTCTTTTTTTTCTCTCTCTCTTAAGCAAATCCAAAGGAGAATGTTGAAACCCCAACAACCCCCTTTAGATCCACCACTGCATTTCTTCTCTCAGTTTCTTTGTTGTGGTGTTGAGATGTGGCAGGAAAATGCTTGGCACATTGTAAAACGCGCTTTATCCTTGTTTGCTGGAGCAAAAAATTCTTAACAATCTGTATTTTGTCTTTTAAGAAGTCAAAACTTTTTTTTTTTTAAATCCCATATGAAATGTTTATTTTACGCCATTTTAAATCAAATATAATAAATCCTGTTTAAACTGAGAAAGTAATATTGATTATATATATCTTGGTCTTTGCTTTAGATAATGCCAAACACGTGTGCTGATAGGATTCTCCACACTTCAAAATTCGTCAATCAGGATTCGATCAGATAAAATACTTACCCCATTATTTATTCATTTTTTAATTTTATAAATTTTTGTGCGTTTTTGTTAAACATTTAGACATTTAGACACTCTTGATTAATATTCTATATGAATGTTAAATACTTTTATTTGTTTTAGCTCTGCAGAAATGCATGGCTACTTAAAACTTTCATATCAAATAACTGACCGCTTCCTGGCGGCCGGTAACAAACTACTAGTGCTTCTGTACTATTTTAAATCCTTGTTGAAATCTCTTACATTTGCCTCTCTTGGTCTTTGGTAAACAATAAATAAGACAAGTTATTTTTGTCTCATTTTTATTAATCTATTACTTACAAGTCTACCTGATCATTAAAACTATGAAAGTACTTTTTGTATTATACAATAAAAATTCTTGCATAATTCTATTATTCTATTAACCTTTCAAGTATGTTATTTACAGTGATTAATTATCAAAAGTAAATGAAAAGGGGAATAATAGTAAAATACAAATTAAAAGAGCCCTGGCTAGGACCAGAACACTTGACCAAATGATCCAGATATTCAAAAATTTGGTAAAAATACCCTTTCTAATTTTAAAAAACTTTACTCTTTTTGCCTCTGATATGCCGAAGTGCAGAGAAGATTTTCAAAGAAATAATGCATTTTTACTACAGATTCACTATATTATCAATAGAGCCCCCCCCCCCCCCCTCCCCACCGAGAAACACCAGAGCCTTTCAACCTGGGACCAAAAGTTTGCTCATCATAAGTAATCACTTTGTTTATCTGCTTAGCACCAGAACCCCTGTCCCTGGGGCCATGAAATTCAAAATTTCAGAAGAGGCATCCTTGCTTATCATAAAAATGTACTTAGTTTGTATAAATAATACCCATCAGCAAAGAAGAAGATTTTTAAAGCATTAATGCATTTTCACTATATAATAAATAGAGCCCCACCCTAATACATGTACCAGAACCCCTGATCCAGGGGCTATGAAATTCACAATTTTGGAAGAAACATCCTTGCTTATCATAAATATGTATTTAATTTGTTTTAATAATACCCAGGAGTAGAGAAGAAGATTTTCAAAGAAATAATGCACTTTCACTATATGATCTAAATAGCCCCGCCCTAGCACCAGAACCCCTGACCCTGGGGATATGAATTTCATAATTTTGGTAGAGTCACTCTTGCTTATCATAACTATGTATATAATTTGTTTAAATAATACAAAGGAGTAGAGAAGAAGATTTTCAAAGAAATAATGCATTTTCACTATATGATCTATATAGCCCCACCCTAGCACCAGAACCCCTGACCCTGGGGCCATGAATTTCACAATTTTGGTAGAGGGCTCAATGCTTATTACAATCATGCCAACAGTTTGACTGCTTGATGTTCAGGAGTAAAGAAGAAGATTTTTAAAGATTGCATTAATTTTGGTGATTTTAGCCCCACCCCTCAGGCCCCGGGGGGGGGGGGGGGGGGGGGGGGGCAGAGACCATGAGATTCACAAATTTTGTTCCCCTTCACACATAATTGTCATATGCTTAAATTGGCTGAAATTGGTTCAGCGGTTTCTGAGAAGAAGCTGAAAATGTTCAAATGTTAACACACGACGGACGACGCACGACGGACAAAGTCAGATAGCAATAGGTCACCTGAGTGACTCAGGTGACCTAAAAAATCAAAACTGGACTGCATGAATTTTGGACAGCATGAAAGACCTTGCAAGAATTTGCAAAATTAATTATAAATAATGAATATCCTTTTAAGATTTTTTAGATTAAAGATGACCTCTAACCTTTCTTCCAACAGTAAGTCCTGGAGTGTCCCTGTCTACAATAAACCCTGTAAAAGCTTTGCCTGCTGATGTTTTGGGGTCCTCGGCAGTACGTGCTAACACAAAATACCAATTAGCATGGCCACCATTTGTGATCCACATCTTTTGACCATTAATAACATACTCATTTCCTTTCTTTACAGCTTTAGTTTTGATCCCCGCTACATCTGAGCCTGCTCCAGGTTCTGTGACACAATAGGCCTATAAAAAAAGAAAAAAGATTACGCATGTAAAACTAAAAAATAAGATAGACTTGTAAAACAAAAAATATAGGCCTGTAAAACTAAACACAAAAAACTTAGGTTGCATATCTGTAAAATGAATAGTAAGATAGGTCTGTAAGACTATAAATAATAAAGACCTGAAAAACGGAAAACAAGATAGGACTGTCAATTAACTGAACATATAAGACAAGCTTGTAAAACATAAGATATTCCCGTTAATAAAAAAATTAAAATGATGTGTAAAACAAACTATAAGCTAGACCATTAAAATGAACAAGAGGCCCAAGGGCCTTGAATCACTCTTCTGATAAACTGTACAACCTATCACTTCTATTTGAAGCTTCTAAGTATCCTGTATATTTAGATAATGCCTTGAAATTCCAAATGTAGGTCACCATGACCTACATTTTAGATGAAACACTCTGAGAACCCAAGATGATTTTAAGCCAATTAGTACCTGAGAGTAGATCATGGTGACCTACTTATCACTTGTCATTCTCTGGGGACCCAAGATGCATCAACTAAGTTTGATGATTCTTAGCCAATTAATACCTAAAATATTTAGTTACGGGTATAACCATAAAATTTCAAAAGTAGGTCACAGTGACCTACTTTTCAGATGACACACTTTGAGGACCCAAGATGCATCAACTGACAAATTTTGATAATTCTAAGCCAATTAGTACCCAATCTAATTAAAACTAGAACTGTCCAAAAGGGACAAATACCCCCCGCTGGGTTTTTCAGAGAAAGTACCAAATCACTAATGTTTTCTAGATGTGAGAGGTGTTCACAATTTCCTTAAACATTTACAGTGAAAATTTAATTACTCATTATATATTTTTATGCGTCCGTCTTGCGACGTATTATGTTATAGCGTTCATGTTTGTTCGTCCGTTAGCTTTTTCATGTCTGCCTCATAACTTTAATACAATTATGCCTAGAATTATCAAACTTTGTCAGCTGATACATCTAGGGTAGAAGGTGTGTCGCACATTAAAACCATGTCGTTCTGACCTTTAATAAAGACGCTATGGCCAAATATGGAAAAATCATAACTAGAAAACCATTAGACTTAGAATCAAAAAACTATGTCTTTTAACTTTTAAATTACACAATCCCAAAAGATGTCAGAGTATTGCAGTATCTTTATTAAAAAAGTGTTAAATCAAGAAAATACTAGTCTTATTTTTTTCATTATGTTCTTTACAGCAATCTGTAACAACAAAAATTCCACCTCTCCCATGGGTGTAATGATCAAGCACTGGTCAAGGAAAATTTTGATAGCAGAAAATTGCATGTCAAATTAGAGATAAATTAATGAGTTTAGTGTGAGGAGATAACTGGCAGAGCATCTCTGATCAAGCAGGTGTTATCTACATCTCTTGGGAAATGGGCAAAAGGAATCAGTCTCTTAATTAATTGCTTTTGTTGTATTGAATTGTTCTTGTTGGCTAGTCTTACTTTCAAGATAAATTTGATGTAATTAAAACTAATTTGATATTGTTTATAATAATTAAAACTTATATGATATTGTATAATATAATTTAAACTAATTATTTATTGTACATTTTTTATTTGAATTTTTATATCTTTACAACAAATTGCAGACTGCCTTGTCTCACTAAGATGTCATTCGACCAATTGAATCTAAACTGTTTATGATAATTTAACAATATTTGATGGGCGTATCATGCTGTGGTGGGGCACTTTATTAAATGAATGAAACTAAGGTGCAGCCTAATAAAACATCAATACTAATAATTACAGTGTTTTTTATTACATTGAAAAAATAGTTTGCAACTATCTGCCATCTTTGTGAGACATGACACACAGCAAATTGATTGTTGAAAAAAAAATATCATAATTAATTATAGAAAATCAAATTGATTTTAATACCTTTATATCAAACTCATTTTAAAAATAAAAGGCTGGTTTTAGTAACTATGTATTTTGACAGACATAAATTACAATTAAGAGATCTTTATTTCTTTCTGCCCAATTCCCCGGAGATATAGATAAGACCTGCTTGATCAGAGATGCCCTAACAGCTTCCCACACTGAACTCATTAATTAATCTTTAACTGGATGCATGTCCACTCATTACTCCCAAGGGACAAATGGATTTACACTATCTGCTGTGTAATGTAAAAACTGTTTTTAATACTTTGTGGGTTTTTTTAGCTCTAATGAGTAGTTTTTAGCTGTAGTTCACATTTTTGTACAGATGTTCTAGATTCTATGTCTCAAACCTTAGACATGAACCCGAAATGACTAAGTCAATAAAAATTAAAAATAAAACACCTGTAAAATGCAGAAAAATTATCAAATAATGTTGAAAATACCAGGTGCACATCTTCATATGGTAAATAATAAGTGTACAAATTTTCATACAAATCTATGCAATAGTCTCTGGGAACAGATCCAGACAAAACCACATAATAAAAATGAAAAAAACACCTGTAAAATGCAAAATAATTATCCAATCATAATGAAAATACCAGGTGCACACCTTCATATGGTGAATAATAAGTGTACAAATTTTCAGACAAATCCTTCCAACAGTTTCCAAGAAATGGTCCGGACAAAATCTCGTCTACAGACAGACGGACATTCTGATTCCAATATACCCCCCCTAAACTTCGTTTGCGGGGGGTATAATTAGATGTTCCGAATCCGCTACCGCTTCTCAGACATCTAACAACATCCCATTCGGGGTCACATCAGAGCGACCTTTCGATAACCCAATGAAATCGCTGTCTCCCAAATCTTGGCTTATGATTCGGATGCCTTTCTTTTTTTACTGCCAAACCTAAACGCCCCAGCGGTTTTGTAGTAAACAAAGACTGTGCTATATATGAATGTGACGTGCGGGATACACAGACGTGTAGTTTGTGCATTTTCATTTGCATTATTTGGGTAAGAATGCCAGATTGGCGAACTATACATTCAACAGTTCAATTTATACCAAAATTACTTTAATTCAACGTAAGACAGTCTACTAAGCATTAATAATGTTAAGATGTTAGCCATGGAACTAATTTTAGAATTGTATACAGAAGCTTGAATCTGATTGGCCAAAATTTTTGTTCATTCAGGTCTCTCTAATGTGACCCCGAATGGGATGTTGTTAGATGTTTGAGAAGCGGTAGCAGATTCGGAACATCTAATTTTAATTAGATTGATTAGTACCTGATATATTTAAATATAACCATAAAATTTCAAAAATAGGTCACAGTAACCTCCTTTTCAATCCAGTAACTCTGTGGACCAAAGATGCATCAACTGATAAAGTTTGATGATTCTGAGCCAATTAGAACCCGAAATATTTCATTATAGCCATACAAATTGAAAAGTAGGTCAGGGTGACCTACTTTTCAGTTGTCGTACTCCGAGGACCCAAGATGTATCAACTGACAAAGTTTAATGATTCTAAGCCAATAAGTACCTGAAATATTTAATTAAAGCCATAAATTTCCAAAAGTAGGTCACAGTGACCTACTTTTCATTTGACTTTACTCTGAAGACCCAAGATGCATCAACTATCAAAGTTTGATGATTCTAAGCCAATTAGTACCCGAAATATTTAATTACAGTCATATAAATTGAAAAGTAGGTCACAGTGACATACTTTTCAGTCGACCTATTCTGAGGAGCCAAGATACATCAACTGACAAATTTTGATGATTCTAAGCCAAATAGTACCCGAAAACATTAAATACAGCCATAAAATTTCAAAAGTAGATCACGGTGACCTACTTTTTAGTTGTTGTACTCGGAGGACTCAAGATGCATCAACTGACAAAGTTTGATGATTCTAAGCCAATATTAGTACCCGAAATATTTAATTATAGTCTTATCAATTGAAAAGTAGTTCACGCTGACATTCTTTTCAGTCGATCTTCTCTGAGGACCCAAGATACATCATCTGACAAATTTCGATGATTCTAAGCCAAATAGTACCCTTAATATTTAGATATAGCCATAAAATTTCAAAAAAGTAGGTCAGCTGACATTTTTCAAGGACCCAAGATGCATCAACTTACAAAGTTTTATGAAAGCTCAAATGAAAGCTCTAGCACCAACTGTTCAAAAGTTATGGGCAATGTTAAAGTTTTTCAAAAGTAGGTCAAACTCCATGGTCAAGGTCAAAGGGTCAATGTTGTTGGTATCCAAATGATGGTCTTGTTACAAGGATTACATATGTGAAGTATGAAAGCAATAGTACAGACCATTCAAAAGTTATGGCCAAGGTTAAAGTTTTCCAAAAGTATGTTAAACTCCAAGGTCAAGGTCAAAGGGTCAAAGTTATTGGTATCAAAAGGAAGGTCTTGTCAAAAGGATTACATATGTGAAGTATGAAAGCTCTAGCACCAAATGTTCAAAAGTTATGGCCAAGGTTAATTTTTTTGCAAAACTGGGTCAAACTCCAAGGTCAAGGTCAAAGGATCAAAGTCATTGGTATCCAAATGAAGGTCTTGTCACAAGGATTACATATGTTAAGTATGAAAGCCCTAGCACCAACCGTTCAAAAGTTATGGCTAAGGTTAAAGTCTTTGCAAAACTGGGTCAAACTCCAAGGTCAAAAGGTCAAATATGATGGTACCCAAAGAAAGGGCTTGTCATAAGGAATACACATGTGAAATATGAAAGCCATAGTTTCAACCAATCAAAAATTATGAGCAATGTTAAAGTTTTTGTGGACAAACAGACAAACACACTGACAGACAGACGGACGGACGGACAGGGCAAAAGCAGTAGGTCAAGGTGACCTACTTTTTAGTTGACGTACTCCGAGGACCCAGATACATCAACTGACAAAGTTTGATGATCATAGGCCTTAAATTGTTCAAAATATGCCTCTACATCATTTTGAAAAAGAATGGCCGCAGAATTTAATAAGTAGGTTACTGTGACCTACATCTGAGTCAACATGATATGAGGTCCTTAGATGCATCAACTGACAAGATTTGATGATCCTAGTTCTTATAGTAAGCAAAATATCAACATTTGAATAAAATGTAATTTTTGGTCAACTTTGAAGTGACCTTGAGACCATGGCACACCCTTTGCCCCAGGGTGATTCCCCATGCAAATTTAATCTACAACATATCCTCATCCTTTTGTATAAGTTTGGTGATAATCTGCCCAGTGGTTCTTGAGAAAAGATTTTTTAGCAACCAGTACTTTTGTTTCTATTTTCCTAATTATCTCCCCTTGTTTAAGGGTCACAACCCTAGTTTTAGTATAAATATATAGTATGTCATCTAGTAGCATAATGTTTCTGTTTCTATAAAGGCTGTCCAGTAAAGGTACACCTGTCTACGACAATCTTAATACTACAGGAACTGTGAGAAGTGAGCTCTGCACAAAAATATATCTCCCGCTCCCATATGAGTATAATGGCAAGTCTACTTTTTGCTACGGGAAAGACCAAATATCTGTCTGTCAGATCAAAATATTAAGTAAGAGGTGCACAATGACACTACGATAAAGATTCTGTGAAAGTATCATATTTTATTCAATGGTATCGGAGGATTTGTCAATAAGAGATGGGTACCCCCAATAATATAAAAAGAATGGCAGTGTCCATGTTTTGTTATTTGAAACCCATGCGATCTAAAGGTAAATTAGGAGTGCACAATAGCACTATGTAATAAAGATTCTGTGAAAGTATCAATGTATTTCATTCAAAGGTATAGAAGGAGTTATGGATTAGAGATGGGTACCCCAGATATTAAAGAAAGAATGGCAGTGTCCATGTTTTGCTATGGGAAACCTGAGAAATGTTCCGGATCAAAAAGCAAAATAGGAGGTATACAATGGCATTATGTCATAATTTAATTTTAGTTGTAATGCGTCATTTGATTGGATAAAAATATTACTTTATATCGTATAACACCTGTGTTGCGTACGTCACAATGACTTATGTCAAAAACCTAGCAATCCACTTGACGTTACATTTGAAATATGTACAAATTTTGGCAATCCATGGATTTTAATGATTCCACAGCTTCACACTGTTCACTGATATTTTGAAACATACAATACTAGAGGAGTCCGCATTTTTGCTTATATTGAAACTTGTCATACTTAAGAATATTGTTACTTACGCACATTAATGGTTCTTCCAGCATACGACCTAGATATTTGTCCTTTTGAGCTTTGTTCCCAGCAATTATAACGGGCATTTGCTGTGAATGAAATGAAAGGTTAAATCATTATCAATCTGCTTCACAAATACACTGAGTGGACATTGTCTATAAAAAATATTTTACATATCAAAAATACTGGGCTCAGAAAACAGAGTTTCTATAAGGTTTTTCAAGATACTTGACTGAAAAACTGGGTTTTTAAAACCTCTAGCATCTGAAGAACAAATTTTGTGATGTACTGTTTTAACAAAGATACAAATACATGTACATGTTAAGCTATTTATATTTACATATTTTACATACCCCAAGGGAGTTGGCCTCTATAGCAGTCTGAATCCCTGTACAGCCATATGCAAGTTCTTCTGTGACCAGACAGGTGTCAAAGATGCCAAGATCCAATCCCCCCTGTTCTTTAGGAATGTGCATGTTGATCAAACCCAAACTGTGGGCCTTCTTAATGATATCCCATGGGTACTGATGAATAAATCATATACAAACAATAGATTTTTTCCAATTCAATGACAAGTTTCCAAAGCTCTTTTCATAATGATATATGTATATATTTACATTTGCAAATGTTTTCTTTTATATAACACTATTAAAAGCAACGCGTATCTATATCTGTATCTGTATCCTCGCGTCAAAAACGTTCGACGTAATTTCTCAGTGACGTCATAAAGGACCGACGCGCAATCAGTGGATCAAACACGTGTCGTTGGGTTTAAAAAATAAAACGTTTCACGCGTTAAAGATTATAATCAGGCAAATATAAAATATGAATAAGTCACAAATGTAAATATAAGTAATAAGGTATCATTTTAAAACATCTATTGGGCTATAAATACGGGTTTGTACGAGATCAAATTTACCATAAAGCCCTTTAAAAATGATACCTTATTTCTTAAATATATTTTCATACAATTGAAAAGCTAGAAAACACCAATGTAGTAAGTTCTTGACCAAAAGTCACTGAAAATCAAAGTTAGCTTAAAAATGAAAAATTCTATGATTTCAATCAGTTATCTTCTGCAACTTTCTAGTTATACCTCTGGTAATTCACTGTGCAGCCTCAACCTTTAATAACTGACCTTGAGTCAAGGTCATGACACACCTTAAGGTCTTCAGCATCAACATACTCAAGTTTGAATTCATTTCAATGAAGGGTTCTAAAGTGCAGGAAAATGTTTCATTACCAAATGACCTTGACCTTTGAGATATATGACCTTAATAAAAAAAAACCCACACATTTAGGTCAAATGGGCAAAAACATACTTATCTGTCAAGGATTTAAGGATTATGACACAATTTTGCGATGTTCATACAGACAACATGAACGTACCATTTCATTGACAAGATCAATTTATGTTCTCTTGTTGGTGTGTGGGGGTTGGGGTGGGGTATACATGTAATACAAAATTTTAATGTTTATGCTGTAGAGATGTGCGATTTTATCGGTATACCGGTATATCGTGATTTTTTATTGTGCGATACGTATCGTGATACGGAGACTAAAATACCGGTATTTGGTATATAATTATTAATTCCAGAAATAACTAATTTATCATTTTTATTTGTTCGAACTATTAAATAGAAATTACAGAAAGTATAAAAAATGTTGAAAAAAGTTGAACTACGGCATCCAAACATGCTTTATATTACATAAAATAACTAGAAATATGTCCATAGGACATGAATGCCCCGCCAAGGGTATATTAGTAATGCAACATTTTAACACAAATTGAGAAAAGTGAGGTCAAAGTCAAAGGAAAGGTCAAGGTCAAAAAGTATTGCTGCAGTTGAATACCTTACATCAGTATGTATCAGCATATGACGTTTGATTCAGAAACTAATTTAAGAAAAGTGAGGTCAAGATCAAAGGAAAGGTCAAGATCAAAAAATGTTGATGTAGTTGAAAAGGTTACATCAGTATGTATTAGCATATGAAGTTTGATGAAAATATTATGAATGGTTTCTTTAAAACTGAGCTAAACACTAATTTAAGAAAAGTGAGGTCAAGGTCAAAGGAAAGGTCAAGGTCAAGGTAAAAAAATATTGATGCAGTTGAATAGCTCTCATCAGTATGTATCAGCATATGAAGTTTGACACTAATTTAAGAAAAGTGAGGTCAAGGTCAAAGGAAAGGTCAAGGTCAAAAATCGTTGATGTAGTTGAAAAGGTTACATCAGTATGTATTAGCATATGAAGTTTGATGAAAATATTATGAATGGTTTCTTTAAAACTGAGCTAAACACTAATTTAAGAAAAGTGAGGTCAAGGTCAAAGGAAAGGTCAAGGTCAAAAAATATTGATGCAGTTGAATAGCTCTCATCAGTATGTATCAGCATATGAAGTTTGATAACACTATCTTGAATGGTATCTTTAAAACTGAGCTAAAAACTTATTTAAGAAAAGTGAGGTCAAGGTCAAAGGAAAGGTCAAAGTAAAAAATATTGATGCAGTTGAATAGCTCTCATCAGTATGTATCAGCATATTAAGTTTGTTAAAAATATTTTGAATGGTTTCATTAAAACAGAGCTAAACATTAATTTAAGAAAAGTGCGGTCAAGGTCAAAATAAAGGTCAAGGTCAAAAAAATGTTGATACAATTGAATAGCTTACATCAGTATGTATCAACATATGAAGTTTGATTACACTATCTTGAATGGTATCTTTAAAACTGAGCTAAACACTAATTTAAGAAAAGTGAGGTCAAGGTCAAAGGAAAGGTCAAGGTCAAAAAATGTTGATGCAGTTGCATAGCCCTCATCAATATCTATCAGCATATGAAGTTTGATAAAAATATCTTGGATAGTTTCTTTGAAACTGAGCTTTGAACAGAGCTAAACGCAAAGTGTGACGGAAGGACAGACGGAAGGACGGAAGGACAGAAGGACGGAAGGACGGAAGACGGACATGACAAACACTATATGCCCCGGCCATATTCATGGTGGGGCATAAAAATGGTAAAAAGTAAACTTATATTTTTGCATTGTATTTGTAAGAAAAATTATGGAAATTCATTTGAAAATGAAGTAAAAATTCCTGGTAAAAATATCCCGATTTTATCACGATATTTTGGGAAAAAATCGTGATATATCACGATACAAAATTTTTTGGCGATACCCATCCCTATTATGCTGCACATATATAATTTTAGATCCACATATCACCTATTCATTTTTTTCTTCAACTAGTTCTAGCTTTTAACATCTAGCTTAAATCTCCTGTTTTATTACCATCTAGCTCACCTTCCCGGTTTAATTAACCTCTATTTACCTCCCCTGTTTTATTATCCTCTAGCTTATCTCCCCTGTTTTATTATCCTCTAGCTTACCTCCCCTGTTTTATTATCCTCTAGCTTACCTCCCCTGTTTTCTTATCCTCTAGCTTATCTCCCCTGTTTTATTACCCTCTAGCTTATCCCCCCTGTTTTCTTATCCACTAGCTTACCTTCCCTGTTTTCTTATCCTCTAGCTTACCTCCCCTGTTTTCTTATCCTCTAGCTTACCACCCCTGTTTTATTATCCTCTAGCTTACCTCTCCTGTTTTATTATCCTCTAGCTTATCTCCCCTGTTTTATTATCCTCTAGCTTATCTCCCCTGTTTAATTATCCTCTAGCTCACCTTCCCTGTTTTATTATCCTCTAGCTTATCTCCCCTGTTTAATTATCCTCTAGCTTATTTCCCTTGATTTATTATCCTCTAGCTTATCTCCCCTGTTTTATTATTCTCTAGCTTATCTCCCCTGTTTAATTATCCTCTAGCTTACCTTCCCTGTTTTATTATCCTCTAGCTTATCTCTCCTGTTTTATTATCCTCTAGCTTACTTTCCCTGTTTTATTATCCTCTAGCTTACCTCCCCTGTTTTATTATCCTCTAGCTTATCTCCCCTGTTCTTATCCTCTAGCTTACCACCCCTGTTTTATTATCCTCTAGCTTACCTCCCCTGTTTTCTGTTTTCTTATCATCTAGTTTACCTTCCCTGTTTTATTATCCTCTAGCTTACCTCCCCTGTTTTCTTATCCTCTAGCTTACCTCCCCTGTTTTATTATCCTCTAGCTTACCTTCCCTGTTTTATTATCCTCTAGCTTATCTCTCCTGTTTTATTATCCTCTAGCTTACTTTCCCTGTTTTATTATCCTCTAGCTTACCTCCCCTGTTTTATTATCCTCTAGCTTATCTCCCCTGTTCTTATCCTCTAGCTTACCACCCCTGTTTTATTATCCTCTAGCTTACCTCCCCTGTTTTCTGTTTTCTTATCATCTAGTTTACCTTCCCTGTTTTATTATCCTCTAGCTTACCTCCCCTGTTTTCTTATCCTCTAGCTTACCTCCCCTGTTTTATTATCCTCTAGCTTATCTCCCCTGTTTTATTATCCTCTAGCTTATCTCCCCTGTTTAATTATCCTCTAGCTTATCTCCCGTGTTTTATTATCCTCTAGCTTATCTCCCCTGTTTTATTATCCTCTAGCTTACCTCCCCGGTTTTCTTATCCTCTAGCTTACCTCCCCTGTTTTATTATCAAGTTTCAAGTTTTTATTTAAGACAAAGACCCCAACTGGGGTATATGAATGCAAATGATACAACAAATAACATACAAGCATGAAATGAGTGGCACTAATGTTAATTACTATATACATGTACATGTATAGTTCAAAACATCAAAGTATAGAAGGCCTCTGCTAGTATTAAATAAATCATTACAACATATTTTAAACAGTTGTTTGTTATTATTAATTTATTACTGACAATAAAATTTTGCAAAATTTGGCAAGTCCAAAAATGACCTTAGCGTCCTTACAATTTAACAGGTCATGAAATTTAATAACATTAGGGTTAGAATAAAAAATATATGGAACAAGTTTTTTTCGTTCTCTTTTGAAAAAAGCACATTCTGAAAGATAGTGGAATTCATCCTCTAGCTTACCTCCCCTGTTTTCTTATCCTCTAGCTTATCTCCCCTGTTTTATTATCCTCTAGCTTACCTCCCCTGTTTTCTTATCCTCTAGCTTACTTTCTTATCCTCTAGCTTACCTCCCCTGTTTTATTTTCCTCTAGCTTACCTCCCCTGTTTTATCATCTTGTTGGTTCTAGTTTTAGCTTACCTCCCCTGTTTTATCATAATGAGGGGCAACTGGAATAATTTCTTCTCGGCTGAACTTCCTGGCTAATTCCTGGTACTCTTTTTGCTCGTCTGATAATTCTTTACAGATCATAAAATAGAAAAAATGTGAGTTGTTGTGACATTACATATAGTGGCAAATATAAAAATGCAAATGAATAAATGATAAACATTGTTGACTTACATGCACATATAGTATAACAGGGTTTTTTTCTGTGCGTCACAACTTTGCGAAATATCCGAAAACACTGGTATTTTTACTTTATGTAGTCTTAATTTTAAAATTCTATCAGTGTTTTTTTTTTTTTTTACTTTACCTATGTAATAATCTACAGATCATAACTGACAAGAATTTACAGTGAATTTATTTTTTTGTGATCAAAATAATAGGCTCACAAAGAAAACAAAATTGGATTATAGCAAAAATACTACATTATACAGTAAATCATAAAACTTATAATAGACCTAGAAGTTAAGGAGTGTCAAAAACTTTGTTCTGAGAGCTGTTGTGTCCATGCATTAAGGAATTATAAGCATTATCATGTTTATTAGCATGAACTTACATAAAAAAAAAAAACCACAACGTGCTTAGCTTTCGTTTGGACTATAGCTGGGTGTAATGATGGTTAGAGACTTTATTTAGTGCATAATTAGTGTCCCATCATACATAAAATATCTGACAAAAACATAACCACTGCTTCTGTAAATGGGGATCTGAAGAATTAATCAGGCTTGTTTATCTGTTCATTTAATGCTAAATTGAGGATGATCACTCTAGAACATCCTGTCATTTACCAAATTCCCAGTCTGCACTGTGTGACATCTGATTTTCTTGATTTAGGTATTACATGGATCAATAAAAAGAAAACAATGCCTAGGGTTCATGTCAACTTAATGCAAATCAATTCATATTATTTTTAAGCCTAGAAAAAAAATGTTTGCTTCCACTTTCAGGCTAAAAAAATATTAAGGAAGTAAGTTGGCAATCTTTTTTTTTTATTTTTTTCCCTGGACTTCTGAAAACAAAACATCAAAGTAACACTGATGATAAAAGAAATAGTGCTTTAAGGCTTTTTTTATGAATTAAAGTAGACACTTTCATACACTGGACAAAAATTGAATATTCAGATCTTCACTGGAAAAACATTTTAAAGTTAAGGATCCATGCTATAAATTAAGGTCTTCATAGAAAGTAGAGACAAACATATATTTTTTCTGTCTTATTTTCCTTTGTCAAATCAGGGCTTTCAAAAAGATTAAAAACAGTTGGTACTTTTACAAAAAAAGGATGTACATTATGGAAGTGATTTTAATTAAATATCTACTGAATTTTTCTCCATGGAATATTTTATCCAACATTTTGGCCAGTACAATGACTTCAATCACAATTCAGCCAGGTAAAAGAACTGGGTATTTTGAAAGGCCTGTCAAATTCATTGAAAATTAATGAACACTAAAATACTGGCAAATTTTCTTTAGAAAATACATGTACGAGAAATATTATCAAAACTACACATATATATCTTTTCCATTAGTTTTACTATCAATGCTTGATTAATAAGGATGTAATTACCAAAGTTAACTCCTGCGCTAGCCTGGGCAGCAGCTGTGTAATGTCTTCTTGGAATTTGTCTCAACAGATGGCCAAACTTCTGAGAAAGCTAACAAAAAAGTAGAACCGTCATATACTGAAACGCAAAGGAAATGCAACATCCTATTTTATGGGAAAATATTACATATAGGATATAATTTTGTATCTAAAACATAAGGACATCTTCAACTTTGTAAATATCGGTAATTTAACGGATGAATGATATTCATACCATTACCGGAAGTTAAGTTTGAGTCCGCTTAACAGAAATCAAAAATTGCATGTTTAACAAAACATTTGGCAATAATATGGGGTTTTAAGGATTTGTATCTGTTTCGAAAAATAAATTCTCCTTTCTTTTCCATAAGCGATGCCAAGCTTCCTAAAAATGACTTAAGCGTTCATTTCTATTTCTCTAGCTGGAAAATCTCAAAATAAAGGTGATGGAGAGTTGCAGATGCAAATATGCACCACATCACGCCTCAATAGGCTCTTACGTATCACTAGCATTAATGACAGTCCTTGGACTGGAAGTCCAAGGGTAAATACACTGCGCTTGGCTAGAGAAAATTCGACCACATCATCTCAAAAACAGGCATTTGAAAATGGCAAAGAATATTTCTTTCGCTAAGATCTCGAGGTTGATGAACCTATTGCATCGTAGAAATCAAGCTGCAACTGTTGCACATGGAAGTCTTGCACGCTGTAATTGAATGGCCGGGGTGGGAGTTGTTTCAACATTCATGTGTTACTTTCTAAAGTTAAAAGATAATAATTAAACATTTTTATCAAATCTCTGATGCTTTTAAATTGAGTTTTACCTTACTGTAATCATTTTTGAAAATCATTAGATAAAAAATTCAAATATTTGTAGATAACTGCTTGTTGCGTTTCTTTTGCGTTTCAGTATATTTATAAAACATTTCCAATTCTGTGACTCTTGACATGTAAATATTTACATAAATGTGATTTCTGGAATTTCTTTTAAAATTCAAATCCTCATGAGCTACAACAAATGGGGAGAAATATTACAGCGCAACTTTAAACCAAAATATTTAAATATCATATTAATTTTTATTAATAAGAGAATCTAAGTAAATTTGATTTGCCTTAGACTAGAAAGACGCTCTGTCATTGGATAAGGCCAAGTTTAAAAAATTTCTTTGTTAACTTTGCAGTTGCTGACCTATAATTCTTAGAGTGGATAGGTAGGTAGGTATTTTTTTTTTTTGAAAAAAAAAAGATCATAGTTTTCAGATTTTTGTTAGATAACAAAAATAGGCTTTCTAACCATACAAAAGCTCTACTTGATATAAGCCACTGATTGATGAAATTAAAAATCAAAAATAGAAAAAGAAAAAGAAAGTTTCAATATCCCCAAAGCTTGAAACTTAAAAATAAAGTGCCCCGCCACAGCATGATACACCCGTCAAATATTGTTCAATTATCAAAAACAGTTTAGAGTGCAAGAAAATCATGTCAACCTTGATACCGGTAGGAGCTAGAATTTCCATGATTTTTCCATTCCTTATAATATTTGTTTATACATCTCCTGTGGTGTAGGCATTAATTTTAACAAATATTACATTATAGATCCTCAACTGGTTGTGTTAGAGCTTGACAAATGCCCATCTGCAGCTCCCCCCCCCCCCCCCCATCTTTCATATTTGTGAGACATGATGCTCTAGTTGATATTTTCAAAAAATATAAAAATATCATATTAAGCAATATCAATTTAGTCTTAACAACTTAATCTATACCAAATTAATTTTGAAAATAAAAAGGCTGGCCATCAAATGACATATGCTATAAACTGACCAGCATTTCTTCTGTCTAATCCCCAAAGGATACAGATAAGAGCTGCTTGATCAGAGATGCTCTAACAGAAATGACTGAGATACCTAGCCTTTCTACATTGAACTCATTAATTAATCTTTAACTGGATGCATGTCCACTCATTACTCCCAAGGGATGAATGGATCTGCACTATTTGCTTTGTAGTGCAATAAAAATGCATATTTATGTCATCCTGAAGTTAAATTTGAAAACAAAGATTTTTTTTAAAATTTGTTTCAAAGATTTCTAAAAAGAAAAAAAAACTTTTGTCATCTTGAAGCAACATTATTAATAAGGTTCCTGCATGACTCTTAGATTTGTAGTGGCTATCTACCATAATTAAAACATTTTTTTTAAATACTTGATTTTTTTTAGATTTAATGTCACACTAGCTGGTTTTAAGCTGCAATCATATGGACAATGGGCATGCTGATTTCAACATTAACCCCCCCCCCCCCCCCAGTATAATTAGTTTTAAATAATTAGTTTATTATAAAATATCAACAAATTTTATTTAATTATCATGCAGTATCAAATTAGTTTTAATTACTTTTCACCAAATTCATTTTAAAAGTTAGGCTAGCCTGTGAACAAGAACTACATGTATTTAATCCAACATTTGCACAGTTTCCAAGAGATATAGATAACACCTGCTTGCTCAGAGATGCTCTATCAGTTAGCTCCTCACACTAAACTCATTAATTTCTCTCTAATTTGACATGCAATTTTCTGTTATCAAAATTCTACTTGACCAGTGCTTGATAATTAAACCCATGGGAGAGGTGGAATTTCTCTTATAACATTACATTTGTTATAGATTGCTGTAAAGTATATGATGGAAAAAATAAGTATTTTCTTGATTTAACATTTTTTTAATATGTATACTGCAACACTCTTACATTTTTTGGGATTGTGTAATTTAATAGTACAAAGACATTTTTTTTTTAAAATTGCACTTAAATTAAAGGTCACAGTGACCTTGAAATAGGTCGCGACACACCTTCTACCTAAGATGCATAAATTGGCCAAGTTTGATGATTCTAAGTCTCATAGTTTTCTAGTTATGAGCCGGACAGGATTTTTCCATATTTGGCCATAACATCTTAATTAAAGGTCGGAGTGACCTACTTTTAATGCATGACATACCTTCTACCCAAGATGCATCAGCTGACAAAGTTTGATAACTCTAGGCCTAATAGTATTAAAGTTATGAGCCGGACACGAAAAGCTAACAGACGGACGGACATGAACGCTATAACATAATACGTCCCGTCCTAAAGACCCAATTTTTTTACCGTACGGTTACCTGAGGAGGGGGAGTGGTCTTGGTAGTACTGGTGTTTAATTTACCTGGAGAGCCCCAATGCTCAAGATGTCAAAAATCCATATACACACTGCATTACACAGGAAGTCCGGCTTTTGGTAATCAGGGTCAACATTACGCGTTTTGGGCATAATTTTGAGTGAAAATATTTAAAATGAATTATGTACTGCAATATAAAATTTGTAGACTTAGCGTTTTCGCCAATATCTTTTGAAGAAAAAATTTTTTTAAAAGACATATCTTTTTTAAAAATCGTAACATTAAAAAAACGGGTAAAAACTACATGAAAGATATCGATATTTTAATCGCCAATAAAAGAAATTATTATGAAATATTAAGTGTGAATATTGAAATAAAAAGATTTCACTTATTGTGTGGACATTTTCCACGATATTATTTACTTTTCTGGCGATCAATGGTGTCCAAATATTCGCCATTTCCGAGGGTCCGTGTTCTTATGCCCTTTTTACAGATTTGCATATAAAAAGAATCTTTCGTAACTCATGGCGTTAGATACACGATACTTTACTTATATTAGTATAAATATCTTTTCTTATTTAATCCATTGCATTTTGTTATAATTTTCAATGGTGGGGAAGGGGGTCGATTGTTTCCAATTACAGCGAATTGAGTTTCTGTGTACCCAAGTGCAAGGTGGCCAAAGGCATTACGGACACTCTTATAATCAAGGCACAGGTTGAATAAAGGGCTCAGAAGAATTATCGGTCTGTGCTCTACAGAAACTTCTCTCTCCGGATCTCAGTTATGGAAGGAAGAGAGGGCCTGCATATCCGCTAAGTATAAAACAGCAGTGGAGATAGAAAAAAAAATCACGAAGTCACTGTTTAATTATCTACTCTCAATTTTTTTTAAAAATAAAATTATCAACCAATATAACAGCGACATGATTTTTTTTAACCAGAGTGTATACAAAGCGACCATTCATGCGGTACATGAAAGCATTTGACGCGTGACCAGGTAATTGTTTTCAAAACATGCAAACTCAGATTATCAGGTAGCCCATGTAGCTGGCCCGTCAATCAAATCAGAAACTATTGTTTTTTTAATGATTGACAGGCGGTATATTATTGATCTTGAATGAGGTAGATTTTGGGGGCGTTAACATAAAATTGGGTGTTTAAGACGGGCGTATAAAAATAATAATACAAAATAGCTGAAAAAAAATTTGGGTTGGGTGCATTTTCAGTAGGTTGGTAGGCAACTGCAAACAAACAAATTTTTATTTCAGGCCTAACTGATATCACGTGCCTCCCTTTAATATTTCTTTGCACAGCGATTAGCAAAATTTTGACTGCAACATGGCAGAATACATGATGCTATGTAATCCATATTTTAAAGAAAAAAATAATGCTCACATTATGTTCCCTTTTAAAAGAAACTGCTATATTTAAACCTTACTGATTTTGCAAAGCTACATTCTTTAATATTGTAACTGATTTTTTTTTTTAGGGGGGGGGGGGGGGGGGAAGGAACTAATCCATAGGATTTCAGTAATTGTGTAATTTGGCTCAAATTTTGAGAGAGTTACTCTTTTATTAATATTTCTTACCTGAACTCAAAAAATGTAGTTATGAAAGACATAAATTGATCCAAGAATTTAATGAATAGTCTATATGTTTTTTTTTTTTTGTTGTTTTTTGTTTATGTCAACATCACAACTTGAATTGTTAACAGGTTAATGTTCTGACCTTGATCAATTTTAAGACAGCCAAAGAGAATTTGAGAGCAAGGGAGCAGATCTTGTGAATGAATATATATGAATTGGTTAATTTAAGCACAAATATCACTGTAAAATAATAAAATTTTACATTATATACTTTTATTTATAGCTGGTTGACTGATAACATATGGCAAAATCATTTATATTTTATCAAGCTATTCTAATGCCC